AAACAAGTAGTGAGCGAGATCGGGATTACATGAATTAGCATCTCGGAATGCCTGTCATTCGCCTACACGCGCATAGTCGCGGCGGCGCAAACAGATCAGGCGCATAAATTTCGCCGTCCTTAAATAACTACTGAAACAGCCCGAGAACGAGTGGGAATAGGTAGGAAATACTTGGACGAACCTTGGCGGAGTCGTTTGCGTGCCGACATGACTTTCCGACATCGATTAACGAGCTCTAAACGGAAAGCTAGCATCAACAGCCATCGAACGAGTCGTTAACTTTGCGCGTCGAAAGTTGCTTTTGTTCTATCTGACGCAGTTATTTAACGCGATGACTCTTGGACGATCTCTTACGCTTTTATGTCCGCCATAATTCGCATCTTAATTAACGGTTGAATTATTTAATAATTAGTAGATGTACACGTATCGATCAAAACTAGTTAGTGAGATCAGATAATCTGAGATACTTAGACGAGCGGTGTAGATACGATTGAAACACGTGACTTGGCAGAAGACACCAGCGTATCTCTCGACACGTGTCTTCCGTATCTCTTGCGCATCTCACGTAGTTCAAAATTCAGATGTTCGACGAATTTTGTCGGCAAGTATCTTGATTCGTACAAATGTCATTTCGGCGCGCATTTTTACGACATGCGTGTGCAGGAGCATTCATGATTATATGCGGTGGTATGGTCATTTCCGTCTGTCATTGTTGCGTGCAGACAGAACGCAGTAGTAACGAGCCATGTCAAGGGTGTCGCGACAAAAACGTCCAACGTATAGAGCGTCGAGCTTCGTATATCCGACAAAAAATTGTCGCAAAAAAAAATTAATCGCGAAACCGACGAGATCGCCTCGAAAGGTAACGCGATCCCGAAGCGAAATTCGACGAAACGAGACGGCGACTCATCGTCGTTAGGAATCCAAATCGCGATCGTTTCGCGGGACACACCGTGTCTACACACGTACACACGTACACCCAGTTACCCGGAATATTTATGCACGGTACGTACATGCACGTAACGCCACACGCACACGTACATACGTACGTAAAGAGAGGTACAAACTCGTCACGCACGCATGCATGCGTGTCCGTGTGGCCGACAGGCGCCACCGAGTGGCATGCGTGCGTGTATGTGCGCGTGTGTGCGCGCACGTAGCGTAACGCCAGCGTGCGCCAGCTGTAGCCGCCGTGCTACTTACGACGTGCGCGTGTGTGACAGCGATAAACCGGCCATGTGCGTGTGCTTGTGCGTGTGCGCAGGCTTCGTTCTCGTCGTTGGCGTCGATGAGCTCGCATTTTTCGTCGTCGGCGCCGTTTGCCACTCGAAAGAACGGTGGCTCCACGACAACGACGACGCCGACGACGACGACGACCACGACCACGACCACGATCATGACCACGACGACGACCACGACGCCGACGCCGACGCCGACGACGAGTAACGAATCGAAGTCTCGAGGTTGAGCGAAAAACTTTCAACTAATCATCTAGAGAATACAATGTCAGATAAATTTATCTCTTGTCTTATATCTCTTGGAGAATAATTAGATGTAAATTATATCTCGTCTCTGTAAAAGATCTCTGTTCACCTTGTTCTCATAAACTTTGTTTTAATATCATGGTCTTAATCTCACGGAGAAAATATTACAGTGAAAATTGAAATATCAAAAGTCAAAATAAAAATTAAATAATTAAAAATTAAAATAAAAAGTAACAAATAATAAAAATTAATATAATAATTTTTATAATAATTTTTTTATAAAATATGTACTAGTATCTAAAAGAAATATATATTACCTTTTCTCAATAATATGTAAACATATTAAATATTTTAAACACAAAGTATTGTAATATATATATATATATATATATATATATATATATATATATATATAATTTTGATGCATAAACAAATACATAATCGTTAACAGAGAATAAAGCATAATTTACAATACTTATAATAATAAAAATATTCTAATCATTATATTCCAGCATTTTAATCATTATATTTAATCATTATATTTCCAGATTTACAATAAATATCGTAAAAGGGATGTTTTATTTAAGTTGTATTGTAAAATTTTCCCCTTGCATGATAAAAGAGCAGAGAATAAAAGCCATAATCTGATCAATTTCGACAGAGAGACACGCGATTCGTAGCAACTTGGTGTAATGAACTAAAAATAGTATCTTCGCACAGCCTTCCACCCATTATATATTTTTCGATCCATCGTATCGGCGCTACATAGACGTACGTGAAATGTTCACATCGCAGAAATATAATAATTTCCATTAGTGTCGAATGAACGCAGTTCAGTCTCAATGCGCGACTCATTATAAAATCGGTTCGATTTCATTAGGCAATGATGGACGTTTCATTTTGCTCGCATATACTTAAGAGTCTTCATCGGATGCTGCCATAATACGCGAATGCTTTAACGAGTAATTCGCCGAACGCATTGGGATTAACGACCTCAGAAGCGATATCAGAGTTTGCGGCTTTGCCAGAGATGCAAAATGCATTCGAGAAACTATAATCGACGAAATGGTTCCGCGCAATCGTCGACCGTCTCTCTCTCTCACTTTTTTCTCTCTAAGATGAATTAAAAAATAAAGATATATTTCGTTCAAAAAAAAAGAAACGAGATCTCGATTTTTATTGTAAAAAAAATGCATACAACATATTGCGTATAAATATATTTAAAATTTAAATTCTCGCAAACGCGAGTCATTGATGTTTATCAGTTGAATAATTACTGTCAACCGATTAAAAAAAGATGGTATTGATTAAACATGCATAATTTGCGCACAATATATGTATTATCGATTGCATATATCGACTTCATGTTTCAATTCTCTTTTCTTCAGGAAAATAAATTTATCATTGCAATAAAAATCTACTTTAAAGATAATTTATATTTACTAATTTATTCGTCTATATAAACGTAAAAAAATGCCTTTAGACAGAAGAGTTTATTACAGTAGTAACAATTAACACTAAACAACTTTCAATATCTTTCAAAATTAAACGAAATGAAATTGAAATTGAGACTGCCAAACTTGGAGAAGATAATTAGACGATGCACGTTTAAAAGACTCGAGTGACACGAAAAGAAATCAACGCGTGATCGAAAAATTTATTTGCCGCTAATGTAAACATTATTATTATGCAATGAGAAAAAAAGGGGCCAGGAGACGCAACAATATACGCGATACGCGTGCAACAAGCGTGTACTTGTATCATGTATATAGCGCACTATGTAACTCCGCTATTCGCGCGTCAAGCTGGCGCCCAGTGTATTTTATCGTCTCTCTCTCTCTCTCTTTCTCTCTAAACTCGCTATCGTGCGAACAACGAAATTTCAATATTTATTATCTCGCATACCCCGTATACAGTCTTTGTTCTGTCTACGAAGAGAACGAGAGAGAAACAGAGTCATACATAAGTGAAATTGTACATACAGATAACGTTAATTATATGCGTTATCGAGATACTCCGGTCGGCCACTCACACAGAAAAAAAGTAACGTTACTCGACCAGTTAAGAGATGCACATACAGCGTTGTAATTGACAATAGACGTGGCAGATTGTTGGGGAAAAAGAGAAGGAAAATCGCGAGAGCAGGCGCCGCTTATACGGATGTAGATCTATCATCCATCGATCATGAATCACTCGTACGTCATGTTTCGTTGGCTCGAATAAACTCGATTTTATTGCTCGCGTTGAGCATTCCGCGAACGGGACGAGAGATCGCCCCCCTTTCGTGGTTTACACCATCGCGTAATAGCCTTTGTTTGTTTGCAGCGAGAATTGCCGCGAACAAACTCCTTGGCGCCGGGTATTTTTGGAGAAGCACGTGGAATCTTTTTCATCGCCCTCTCTCTCTCTTTCTTGTTCTTTCTTTAAACATACAATTAAATAATTTATTATTGTTTTTATTTATATTATTTTATTTTTATTACTTTATTATTTTATTATTATTATTTTTTATTTCATTTTATTTCTATTATTTTATTATTTTATTATTATTATTTTTATTTTATTTTATTTTTATTATTATTTTAATATTATTTTATTATCTTATTTTTATTATTATTTTATTATTATTTTATCTTATTATTGTTATTATTTTATTATTAATATTGTATAATTAAATAATTTATAAAACTTGTTGTCTCTAAAACTTGTGTGTTCTTGTTTCGATGAAAAGAATTTTAAAAAGTAAATTGTCTCGCACAGTTAAAAATGTATCGATTACGTAAAATACAGAAATACAGAAATCGATGTTTCTTCTCTTCTTGCGAACTTTCCAATCGTCAAACAGTCTCATTGAAGCTTCTAATTTTCATATCGCAATTCTCATATATAGACTAGGATAATCATACTAATAAGATAGCCTTATCCTTGAAGAGATACGAATTACTAAATTCGCGAGAATTAGTAAGACAAGCGTGCCGAGCACGTGCACACGCCGTGCTTCCTGCGATCATACGCACGCGAGTATCTCACCTTTGCTAGTAATATAATGAACATCGAAGCATTATGATATACTTCTATGTTAGAATAACGAGAGGAAATTGAGAGAAAATTTGTGAAATCGGCGAAAAATCCATCATTATGAGAGAATCGAACGTCTTATCGATACGTTCAAAGTAGCACGGAATGAAAAAGCGATACGAACACGTTTGGGTGAACATCGAAGGGGTGACATTATCGCGAGAAGTAAATAACAATGAGACTGAGATACAACTTTTATGTGTCGAAGTACAATGCGATTGTTCTTGTGCTCGGCGAGAGCTTTCCATTTAACGACAAAAGTGTCATTTTATTTTTATTATTCAATAATGTTGAGAGAGAGAGAGAAAAGAATAAGCTTGCGTCGACTTGTGTCCCTAAGTGAAGGCATCCTTAGTTAAGTAACTTGTGTATATAAGATTCTTTTACCTGTAAGAGAACGTTCGCTTGGTTTACTTGTGAAAATATCTTATTTCTTACCTTTTTTGTTACCTTTATCAGGTCGCGCCTCATTGTTGTCGAGCAAACCATAATCTTCCGAATCTACATTCGCTGGATCCGATGGATTTCTGGTGACGGCGGCGGCGACGGTCGCAGCGAGACCTGTCATCAACATCACGAGGGTTAACGCGTCGCGCGGCAACATTCCGCAAGGATGCAACTCTCTGAAATCAGCTGGAATCTCGCGGACGAAGAGTCTCGGGCGACAATTGGCTGGCGTACGTCGAAACGAGAGATCGTCCTCCGAGGATCGCGCACATGTGTTTCTCCCGAATTAGATCTTCGGGATCATCGTCGTCGTCTTCGTCGACGTCGCCGTCGAAATCGTCACGATCGATGGGTTGCCGTTGCCCGTCCGGTTATCGCTTCGCGCATAACGAGGAAGAGAGAAAGTTGGCGATAGTTGAAGTCTCGCGAAGAGGGAAAATCGGCGAAAGAGGCGAGACGGAGGATCGACACGGAACCACGTGCTACCGCGTCGCTGTCCGGCGGCTGACTGACTCACAATTGTCTGTACGTCGGCGCCGTCGCCGCCGCCGGTCGTCTCGGAGCCAGCCGTGGCCGGCGCGCACCCGCAAACAGGCAGGCACCCGGCTCGGGGAGCACTTGCCCTTCTCTCTCTTTCTCTCTTTCTCTCTCTCTTCCTCTCGGATATTTTTTAAAACGAAAGAGCTCCTTTCTTCCTTGCTCTTTATGCCGATGGCGCGGGCGCGTTTTACTATGCGCTACGTATCTATCTTTATCTTTCTTTCTAAATAAATAAAGATAGACATATATTTAAATCTCGCTTAAAGTCAAAATAATATTGATGCACTTGGACCTTAGGCCAGGTTGCACCAACATTATTTTAGATTCAAGCGAGATTTAAATGTATATCTATCTTTATCTTTCTCTCTAAATAAATAAAGACGGACGCATATTTAAGTCTCGAAGCTAAAATAATTGGTGCAATTATTTCAGATCTTAGGCCAGGTTACACCAACGTTATTTTAGATTTAAGCAAGACTTAAATATGTATCTATCTTTCTTTCTAAATAAATAAAGACAAATACGTACTTAAATATCTTGCTTAAAGCCAAAATAATATTGATGCTATTGGATCTTAGAGATGTAAAAAAACGATTTCTTGTATATAAAAAAACTTTGGTTTCTTTCATAATTTTTTCAAATATTATATTTTTAATATAACATTAAAGTTTTTGTGTTTTTAATTTATTTAAAATTATACTAAACACGACAATAATTTTCAGTTAAATGCGTAACAAAAGTTTTTATTATACATCTAGCAATATGTGAGAATTATATTCATCATTTTCATCATAAAAATTTTATCAATCTATTATAATTCAAAACGTAATAAAAAATGAAAAGAATTAATTTTTAGTTTATGAAACTCCTTTACGTTCATAAATTGTAAAGGGATGAAGGAAGCCAAATGTAAGAGATTTAAATAATAGTAAGAATATTAAACATACATTTATCAAAAAATTTGATAAGAGAAATTAGACTTGTTTTTTAACAAAAATATCATAAAAAACTATCAGTAACAAATTATCACACAGAGAGAGAGAGTTTTTTTCTATTTATATCTCTAACGTCCCTCAACTTGCGCAATCGCGAGGTAATTATCTCCATTTGTATGACTCTCTACGATTCCTTAAATATCTTTTTCCTCCCCTTTCTTTCCCTTCCCGCCTCGTTGGGAGATAGTTCTTTTTCAGAGCCTTGTATCGGTTTTTTCTTTACACAACGCAAGATACGTTTTACACGCGAGACCAAATTTTTCGTCCACTATTGCTTGGCGGCGAAAGTTTATCGCGTTTTGCGTGTCGAGATAATCGAGCGGACGCGGTCGCACCAGAATTCGATTATTTTTCCAAGGAGGACACACGCGGTTTGCCATACTTACATTAACGACGCCGTGAGTCCCTGATCAGCCGTCACCGGGACGCTCGTTGTGTGTGGGTGTGTGTGCGTGTACGGTATATCTCACGGTAGCGTGCGAAACGCTGTGTGTGCGTGCGGTTTGTCGGCGGAAAGTCGGTGAGACTGTCGGGGTCGGAGGGGGACACCCGGTGGTGGCGCCTGATCCCCGACGACGCCAAAGTGGTGCGACGCGACGCGTCTTTGCCTGCTTTTTCCCGTCAGCCGTTGGTGATGTCAGGACTGTCGGCAGAGACATTCTTTTTCCACCGCACTCTGGGGTACACACGTTGTCGTTATACATATTCCGTCGCCGTTGCGTCTCCCTATCTCGCTCCATTGTTCCCCCGATCTAAACACGAGACCTCAAACGATTGGTATATCATTGTTTAAATAGAGGCAATTATTAGCTATTCCTTTTCTAGTTGCGATAAGCACACTTTCCCTCTCGTTTTTATCTCTATCACTGATACGTATATCATGCCTCTCTCTTTTTAGGATAAAGAATAAATATCAGTTTTTTTTTACAATGATAGCGTGATGGATCGATTTTTACATCAGACGCACAATAGTCAAACGTATTTCGTTGTCTTATTTTAGCGTCAGGTAGCAGTCAGGCGGAAGATGGCAGGAAAGATGGAAAACTGATGAAAGATTATATGTATATTACATTGCATATATATACATACAATCAAAATATATTATTTCTTATTTATAATTCTTATTTATAATTTGATATACAATATAATAAAACGCTTTGTACAATATAATTAAATTCCTTAATCTTATAGTATAAGATTTTAAAGTTATGTCTTAAAAATTAAAAAAAATACCAAATTTTCATAAACCTCTAATTATATCGATATAAGGATCCCCTCTTAGAACCTTGAAGCATTTTCAATTTTTACCGCGTCAGTGTTATGTGATTTTATACCGTCAATAATTAAAATTATCGTATTAATTTACACTCTCGAAATATGCAGAGCGTTTTCAATTTTACGTACAGTGTGTAATTTTTGAGATACCGAGAACCGCGACGCATCTATAAGCATCTTCTGATAGAGCTTTACATATCCAGCACGCCAACCTCGAAAACTTCAACGCGCGATTATGCTAGACTTACAGAGGATTCACTGTACTCGCGCTTCATTCCTGATGTTACTCTCTTCATCAATTTATTTACATTAGATGAAATCCCTCTTTCTCTTTCTCACGATGACATGACGTTTCGGGCTCGCGTCCCCTATTTCATTATTTCTCTGCCGTTTTTCGCTTGATCGTTGGCAGGATGCGTGTACATATGTGTGTATGTGTTGAACAACTTGAAGGAGGATGACTAATTATGTTGAAACCGGGGGCCGGGATCGGTGGGGCCCGGTTCACCTGGCATACACTGGGCGTCCCTCGAGGGGTCTCGCTCGACGGCGGTGAAGAATGCGAGCTACATCGTCCGTTAGTCATACGATGTAGAACAAAGGAGCCCAGAGCGCGCAGTGAAGTTGGTTTGCTCTTCAGGAAGCTTCGTTAAATACGCGTACGTCGGATCTCGTATCCCCGAGTCGTCCGTCACGGGTATGACGTGGCTCTTTTCCCCGGGACCTCCCCGATATCCCAGTTATCCCTAAACAGAGATAAACGAAACTTGTCTCCGTTACTCGGCATAATTGAAGATGGCACAAAAAGCGAACGAATCAATTCGGATGCACATAATTAGAAAAATTATAAAGGATGAAAAATCTAACATAATTTTTCAGGGTGTCTATTCCATGTGGAAAAACATGGACAACCTATAATTCAGAGTTTCTTTCCTACTTGGAAAAAAATCAGAGAATTGTCATAGAATTTTATTAGCGGAATTTTTTTATAAAAGGGAATTTTAAATTAATTTATAAAGAATATTTTCTTATATTCTACAATTCAAGAGAATATTTGATAATTCTGTCATTTTATGGTAAACAACCAAGAAGTGAATTATGTGCTTAAAATATATCATGAATATATATCTATCTCTCTGTTTATATTCAGTTTAACAAAAATTTTAATAAAATATTGAATATGTACTGCATATTTGTTATTGTAATTTTTAGTGATAAAAAATGAAAATATAATATGATAAAAAGTAAAAAATGTTTATCTTACGAATATCATTACATCTTTTTTCAGTAGATTTGCAAATCTAGCACTTGGAATTTAAATGACTGTATTTTTTCTTACAAATAAAAAACGGATTCAATAAAAAAATTTATTTTAAAAAGTTGTGCCAAAAAATGTTTAAAATATTCTCTTTATCTGGAATTTTGAACAAATATGTCATACAAGATCAGAGAACCTTTTTATATTTTTTGAGTAGACACTCTGTTTTAAGATATTCAAATTCAAGTATCTCTCGAGATATTGTAATCAATTCTATTTACAGTGTGCTAATGGATGACAGTGATTTTTTAATAATTTCGAATTTAGGACATGTTGTAATGTATACACTCGATACGTGTTATTTCGAATATGCTACGGTAGTGAATAGATATATAGATGCATGTGCTGAAAGGAAAGATAATATTATTAACGTGCGATATTCAATCGCAGCCCACGATCCGACAGCCGTGCCGGCGCTACTGTTTGGAACTCGAAAGCTATTCAGCGGACGTAACAAAAAATCGCTTTAATACAGAGACTCGACCGGCCTGTCGGCAGCAGTTATCTCCCGGCCAGCTTCTATTTATATTTTCCGTTCGTTAGTTGATCAGTGGCATGCGATCAAGACGAGAATTATACTTATGAGAGAGAGAAAGATAAATAGAGCAATAGTATGTTTAAAAAGATGCGAATAAGATTACATTGCAATGCGCATATAAAAAAGCTTCAAATTTACAAATTTTTATAATATTTTGCAACAAAATATTATAGCAATAGTATGTTTAAAAAGATGCGAATAAGATTACATTGCAATGCGCATATAAAAAAGCTTCAAATTTACAAATTTTTATAATATTTTGCAACAAAATATTTTATAATATTTTATAATATATTTGTGAAAAAAATGCGACCACGTATACGTTACCTATATCTTAATTTCATCCCACTGGAGGAAAGACCACAATTAGATTTAGTAGAATGACAATGTTAAAATAGCTTCGACGTCATATATTCACGAGTAATTTACAGCGTCCATTGCATAACGATTGTTTTTCAGGAATCTGTAACAAGGAATGTTTATCATCACTTATTTAAAATACCACTTCTCACATGGCAATTATCTACATGATTTTTGTGCACGAGTGTGTTTATTCCGTCTGATAAAAAATAAACACGTGAATGGACTCATAAATGGATTCGTCACGGTTTTATCGCGTCGACTCGTCGCGAGCTTCCTGTATATATAAATCACGATCAAAAATCGATTCGATGCGCATCGTGTCCGGAGATGCCGGTCCACTTAAAACCGGATCTTATCCCGACTTCCCCTCGCCGGACTTACTCGGATGTGCCTGAGGAGGATTAGAAACCGTGGACGACGTGATGGAAAACAATCCTTCGACATAAAATGCGCGGAACTGAAATGATCGTTAGCGGTACAATGGTTGAAGGAATCAATTATTCACGCTAAGTGATACTTGTTTGTGAATTATATACTAGAGTCAATGTCTTTATCGGCTAAAAAAACGATAGGCAAAGAGAGAGAGAGAAAGAGAGAGAGAGAGAGGGAAAGGGAAAATTTTCTTTCGATGGGTTTAAATTTACATCTAAATGTCACGACGGATAGAAAGGGAGAAATCAGCATTCATTATTAAACATTGACGTCTGTTAATGTGACACTATTAGCACAGCCTAGATTTCCAGTCGTTTTGAATGTGAAAATTTTCTGCCATTTATAATGGATGGATTTATATAACATTATATATATTTCCATATAAGTCAATTATCTTTTATTTTAGTACGTTCTATTTTTTATTTCATTAAAGAAAAAATATAAAATAATTTATATATATAATTTAAAATTATATTTAATATGCATACATATATAAATTTAAAAAAAATATATTTTTTTTTATTTTATTAGATATGAAATAATTTATGAATGACTTTTGGATTTATGAATTTATACATTTATTTCGCGGCACATATAAGTTGAAATTGAAATCGCGTGATCAAATAACAGATTACTGCTCTTTCGGAAAGGAAATAACTTCGGGCACTCGGTTTTTATCGCGGTCGTGAAACGCGGCGCGTTTCATGGAGGCTGCGCATTCGCGATGCCATCCATTTCGAGAAAAAGAATAAGGGACTAACGACGCACAGGTTCGCTAAGGTATACACGCAAAACGGGTCGAACCGAGACATTCCCGAACTCGAAAACCCACTTAACCATTCGGAGAAGCAAGATTAGAGGGCAGGTCTATGAGTAGCCTGTGAGTAGTCGCGCTATCTACGTCTTTCAGGTCCTGAGGGCCGGCAGAGACCCCTCGCCGGGAGGTAAGACTGATAAGAGGGCGGCTTTTAGTGCATCGCGACAAACTACCCCGAGAATGTGCGATCGGAGAAAGGGAAAAAAACGCGACAGATAATAAGGAGCGAGCCTAAAAGGAATGCTGTCAATTAGATTAAAAAAGCACTGACAGACTGCGTGGATACATACGTAGATATGAGAGAGAGAGAGAGAGAAAGAGATTTAAAACATATATAAACGATTAAATTTTGCCATTTTATATGAGTAGGAATATGAAAGAGAGAGAGAGAGAAATATAAATATAGATCTAGAAGCATTATATTATTGCATTATATTGATGAAAAAAGAAGTTTATTTAATTTTTCATTAAAAAAAATATCATCCTTCGTTTGTAAGACTAATATTGTTGGGAGATTGAACATACTACGAATTTCATATTTATCTTGCTTTAGTTCGATGAATGCATCATTGATCCTATCTATCAGTTCCTGTCGTGAATCGAATGCTTTAAATCTCTCCCCCTCTCTCTCCCTCATATTTACAATATCATACAAACTACTCCGAATCTAATTCATAATAACAGAAAGTGCATTGTAGATTTTTGCTATTCGAGAAATCGTGACGTGATTTACTACTTCACGTGGGAAAAACGAGTCCTGTGCCGCGTGTAGGTGGTTGCTATAAACGTATACTCTCGCCTCGTGGCCTCGATGCTCACGATCTGTTACGTGGGGTGGTCCCTCTGCGCTATCAAAGTACTACTTTCAAATAGATTTATCTCTTAGCAGATCGTTAATTATATCCAATGGTAATTAACAACAGTGCGCAAAGCCTTGTGATATGCACTGATATCTCTTTGCACAATGGCATATATTTTCTACATTAATTATCATTTTAATCTCTTTCAATTCTAATATGATGTATTAATTTTTCACTCGAATATCTTTATTCAATAATTTACTTTATTCAATAATTTACTAGTTAAGAAAATGAAACGAAATGTTACTCTCCTTCGGGAATAGATATTCCAAAATCGATAAATGTAAATAAGTGTATTAATAAACGATTGAATTATACTTATATTCGTAAATGAATGGTAGAGATAAAGAAAGAGATGTGCGAACCTTGTAACCACGTAGCAGGATGCCAAGACGGATATGAGGGCCGCGATAGCAAGGACGAGGGCTGCGACGTGCAGTGCCCTGACGCGATCCCGTAGAAGTCGATCGACCGATTCCGCCGAATCGTCGTACTTCCGGTCAGACTGCATCGTCGACGTCGCATCGAAACGCGTTCGCTCCGTTTGCGTCCTTTTCCATGTATTCGCGTTCACCCCATCATCGTCATCCTCGTCGTCATCGTTGACGTTGCAGTAGTCACGGTTGTCGCAGCATTTTAATTTCAGGCTGGGCACAACCCGAGGACCGGCCGGTGGTTCCACGGCGTTGACCGATCGCGATCTCGTGACCCAGGACTTCGTCTCGCATAACAATGGCGTGGCACCCCTGCATACATGATATTGCGAATTTATCAATTGATAAAGTTCCATGAACTCGCTCTTGTTGAGGAGAGATAGAGTCAATGACGTTTATCATGCGATGTCTAATGTCATCGAAGCGTCGTGATATGACTATTTCGCAGATTAAATTAAAAACAATTTAAAATTATTCGAAAATTATTTAAAATTAAATTATTTGAAATTAAAAATCCAATATCTAATGGAAATTATTTCTACATCGAGATGGATATTATTTCTTTCATTGGCTTGAATATCGAAGGATTGAATTTCAAATTGGGCAACAAGACTTTCTGCAAAAACCAGTAAACAGCGTGTTTAACATAATATCCGGATTTTGTTGAGCGAATCACTGTCGCAACCGTCACGATAGTAATATTAATGAGATATTTAATGAAAATCGCGGAGACTTTTTCTCTAAATTATCTCGTCAAGGTTATTCGTCGTAACATTACGTATTCTTGAATTTATATTGTGATATTGTCAAACTTGCATAAGACGCATATTCTATTTCTGAGAAAAGATATTATAGTATCTAAAATAATAAAAATTGAGAAACAAAATGAAGAAAGAAACTCAAGTTTTTGAGTTAAGTTTTTCTTCCAATGTCTTAAAAAAAGAAGATTATTAGAGTCATTATCTTTTTCAGGCAAGAAAAACATTTTAAACATTGTATCGCATGTGTGAAAAACATTGTACATCTATATACTTGTATATAATTTTCGTTAAAAATCTCGTCATTAATTTATGATATACACACTCTGTGCATCCTCTTGTGACCGTACTTTCACCGATTTCTTGTCCCGCTGTCAGAATACGTTCGGTGTAACAGAAGAATCTCGTTTTACAAGTATCCACGCCGGCTTCCTTGCAGGCTTTGCTCGTACACACGCACTTTCTTCCTACGAAACATAATATTGTATGAGACAAGACGACCGAAGCAAGCCTCAACAGTTCTACAAATGTAAATTGGCACGTTCATAACAATTTATAATCTTGCGTGCGAAGACAGGAATCACCAATTAAGAAAAATACCGAAAATACAGAAAAATAATTTCTCTCAACAAGCGGAATTTATATTAAAATTTCTTAAAAGATCAAATCTTCTCTCTCCATTATTCGAAAATTAATTTTCCTCGAAGAAATAATCTTTACAAAATTATATATTTTAAGATCCCAGTTTACTTTAGTAGCATGAAAAATTGATAATTTGCATTTTCTTTTTATTTTCTAGCGTTTTTTGCATATGTATACATTACATATATTTTTATAAATGTTTAAACAGTATGTCAGTATTTTTAAATCTTGGATGTTTAGCTTTTTTGTTCAATACGAATATTTTTGAAAATGTACAATTTACTTTGGTGTGATAATGATTGCCTCGCGTGTAATTTTCTAAAATAAAAAGACTCGACCTAGTTTCATTCTGTAGGAAATTTATGGGATACTTAATTGTCTAGTTTTGTTAAAGAAAATTGAAAAATAAATAATAATAATAAGATATACTATTTAAAAATTATAATATATATTTCAATTTTTTGTATTCATTTCTTGAAGGAAAATATTAATTATTCATTTTTTAGAAAGTGTTCTCTTTTATTTAAAAAAAACTGAAGTTATTTGAGTCATTAATTTTTATGATATCATATCAACTCTGAAAACAGTGTTTTGAGAAAAACGCATTGCAAGTCCATTTCAAGGCCCGCGCGCCATTCTATTGAAAGTCTTATAACTCTGTCAATTTTACAAATTTTTCAATAAAAGTTGGAAAACATTCTCCAGATATCACACTTTCAGAAATTATAAGAAAATCGATCTTTTGATTCTCTAAAATAGACCGGTTCCTTGAATACAATAGGCCAACTACGTTGAACCTCCCATATGATTCGACTTTTTATATGTATTATCGAATCATTTTAACAAACCATGTGAGGATGTTTAATTAATGACGCGTCTTTCGTCGTCATTAACAAGCATTTTTTGCCAATTAAAGAACTCAGCGAGACAAGCGGCCGATGACACGCGACTCACTTACCTTCCACTTGCCCGAGGCTCGTTGGCAGCGAGCACACGATGCACATCGCGGCGAGGTATCCGGCTAACGATCGACCGATTATCGATCGACGAGCAGGCATCTCTTCTCTCCAAGACTTCCGGAAATCGCGTTTATTGGGTCGAGGAACCTACGTTTATCGCTCGCCGCCCGTTAAAGCGACCGCGGGCCATAATCTCGCGACGATCTTCTCCTTCTCTCTCTCTCTCTTTCTCGAGGCGATTGACGGAGGAGCGATCACGGGCGCGAAGTAACCGTCTTATCGGTTCAAACCACTATTTGGAAATGTTCGATGGAGAAGAGTATCGCTGAAACGCGGCTACTCACACGCTGGCACCTCTAATTTTAGCGCCTCCCACTAGAAAGAGCCACGTCGCGTCGCACCGGCTCGATGTTGTCGCCCGGTGTTGTCGACAATTTACTACTCTCTGTATCTATTTTAATTCCGTCATCTCTCGGCAACATTTTATTTCGCGCGGCCGCGTGAATTTTGTCGGGCTCCGGCCCGATTTATTTCCGGTCCTTTTGGCTTTCATCTTTCCCTCTTTTCTCGCGAGGAAATCGACGCGCTCCCTCCTAAAGTCGGCCAATTTATTGGAAGAACAACATCGCCGCGCGACTCCCCCGCGTATACATTTTTATATTCCGAGGGACTTGGCCGCATTCATCCCGCCGATGACGGTCCGGGTGTAAACGAGCCTTTGACGAGAGGGTGAGACATTGTGCTCTCCTCGAGACGGCGCCAGCGACCTGGAGTCGCAGACCTCGTTAGCGGAAAAATCCAAAGCACACAGCACGAGATCTTCTTCCTCCTTTTCTTTTCCATCGAAAGATATCTTTTCATTATTTATCTCCTATATCGTTATATTTATCTACATATCTTCATGAATGGTATATGATTAAGTAAATTATAATAATGATATATATGCTCAATTTAGTATGTCATTCTGAAACAGAGAATCGACCGGGGAAAGGATCCCAAGAGGAAAATAAAAAGAAAAAGAAAATTATTGAAAAAAGTTGTAGAGACAGCAAACGACTCGATAAAAGATTCACGGGATGGACGAGTATAATAAAAGAAATTCAGAATTTATTCTTGAAATCGTTTCTCCGCCGTTTTCGCGTGACAGTAGGTGAACCGCTGTAACTATACAGACACAATCAGTCGACAGGAAATGAATTGAACGGCTAAAATGTTTCGCCAACAGCGATATAAGTGTGTTCCATTCGATCGACATTCAATGACTCAATCGCGGCGCGTAGTCATTAAGTCTTTTGAAGTGCAGCAGACAGGAGAGTTGCATTCCTCGTTTGGTTTACTGAACGCGCAACATTAACCAGAGCCCCTCCGCCTCCCCCCCGCTGCACATTTTTTTATCGACCTCCGAGTCGAGGGACAGTAAAAGCCGAGTTGGGTTATCGGGAATGACACTTGGTTACAGTTTAATGAGGTCGCGTCAGAGGCTTAACAGTCTGTTCGTCGATCGCTTCTTTTACTGCACAAATGGATCGAGTGTCCGCGATAAAAAAGATTTACGGATGAGTACAAGGATTTCTTTCACATATGAATGATGTATCGAAGTCTAGCTTGTCAGCTGATTGCTCTTCTGGATCTATTAGTAGAAGCGCAAAATCGTAATATGCGAGAGAAAATATATCACAAGACGTTTTAAAATAGAATACAATAATCTATATATTACATATCTACATATTTTATATGCGTATTCGCAGTCTTGATAGCAACTTTAGAGAATTTCCTAGAATCTCACAATTTCGTTTTAATACATTTTTTACATGGATAGTTTGATTATTTTCCTGCATAATTATATTCGTTTTAATACATTTTTACACGGATAGTTTGATTATTCTCTCATAATTACAAAAATAAATTGTTTCGCATTTAACATTAATGCTTAACTTTCTGCGTAGCATAATTAATTTATCGAATTCCTGCCTGACATACAAAGGATATGACGCATATAGATAAATCATGCAAAATATCGCAATAATAATTGATTTTAATATTCTCTTGATGCAGAATGAAATATTACTCGAATATGCATTACAAGATTTTCATGCAAAGAATCGCAAAAATATATAAATTTAAGGCGGAATAAAATCTCGTCACGTCTATTTCGAATCCTATATAAATTAATTAAGTGAATAATAATTCGCGTAAATGTCAGAAGTCTCCGTCAAGAAAGAGAGAACGGTAGGAGGTCGGTGTAGACTCGGAGGAGCAATCGAGTCGAGCCGTCCTTTTTAATTAGCTCCTGCACTCTCGTCCTCGTCCGGATACAATGATCACGCAGACACGGATCCTCTTAATTGTCGGCGGTGAATTGCGTTCGGTCGCGCGGAACGAGTTCTCGAGCAGGTTGCTGCTACGCGAGGGGCTAAGTAAAGAGCTCGGCTGTGTCGTTATCGTGATTATCGCTGTCTCGGTGAGATGTTGCTGAGAAAGAATAAGCGCGTTGATCGTTTAAATCGATCGGAGCCGAGCGAAATCACAGCGAGCGGGCCGAGGCCTGTAATTCTCCCGTAATAGCTTCGGAAAAGATCGCCGTTGCTTTCACATATACTCATATACACGCACACACATACGCACACACGCTACGTGCGTCGTTACATCTTTGCATGAATTTGATCGGCAGATTATCGTCAACGACATGAATGAGCCGGAGTTGAAGCACCGCCACTACTTTCATCGGAGCTAATGGAAAGTGATTACGATTAATCGATGACTCTTGAAAGGACCATCGTCGTTTTAAAACAATCTTGTAGTTAAATTTTCCATCGCGGAACATTCAAAGCTTTCAAAAAGTTTAATTCAATTTACGATCTTTAATTGCTCTGGAATTGCATATTAGAAAAGTTTTATTTTTTTATTTATATCATTGACATTTATTCAGGTATCAATGATTTATATATAGAAGGAAACAATTAAAAATAAATCGATGTTTGTTGAAATACGTTATAAAGTGTGCAAAATTATCGCGCTTTAATAAAACCTATTTTATTGTGTTATAATAGAGTGTCTATTCTATTCAGAAATATTGAATATATAAAGATAGATATATATGTATAATATATTTTAAATAAATATAATTCATAACTTGGCCAATCGATGGATTATAGCGATAGCTTATAATATAAGAGCGAAAAATTATTAAAGAGAGATCATTTTTTTTTAAATTTTCTAAAAAATTTCAATAAAATTCTATGGTAATCCTTCGATTTTCTCAGATATAAAAATATCCCTGAATTTCAAATTCTCCATATTTTTTTCAGAAAGTAGACACTCTGTAACAGTATTAATCAAAATATAGTGAGATTTATTTGGACCATAAGAATTCTAAATCCATTATGGAAGTTAATTAAGATTAATTTTTATATAAAAAATAATTCATATCTCGAAAATAAAACTCTCTCTCTCTTTCTGTCTCTGTTTTCCTTGTGATTATCGGAAGTTTTTCATGTTCATAGCGCATTATAGCCAGCTACCGACTGTTACACGTGAGCGAAAAATAAATAAGTGTACTCGAGTTAAGTGTTGCGTGAGTCTCCGTAATAGAGCGAGACTACGACGTTTCATCGAAGATGAGAAGACGTTGCGAAGATTATATGCGTGCCATAGCATATATTATCATATGTTGCGAGATGTAAGCGTTGTGAAGAGAACGTCACGTTTCCCAGTCTTTCGGTCTCGCAACCGGCAAAGTGGCGCTTTGTTACGCAACAACGGGTGCTGGAAATATAAATCGATATTTTACACTTTAATAAAACGCGCGCGATATATATATATATATATATATATATATATATATATATGTGTGTGTGTGTGTGTGTGTGTGTGTGTGTGTGTGTGTGTGTGTATATATATAAATTGTTTGTGCTGCATGTAATCCTTCTCACTTCTTTGTCCGTGAAAAAAATGACCTCAAAAGCAGTGCAAACTTATTATGTGAAACTACAATTATACGAAATACACGAAAATTATATTTGAACAAGTTTTTCTCTCAAAAGAAAGATATCCTCTTTGCATTGATAAATTTTCAACGATATTTAAATTTTATCATGAGCAAAAAATTTTATACATTTTTCCTGGATTCTAAAATTAATTTGTATATCTACTATATTTGAAAATGAGAAAAATTGTATTCCTTTCTTTTCTCTCTCTTTCTATTTATTTTTAATTATTAAGAAATGAAGTTAAATTTATCATTTTTTTCGATATATATTACTAAAATTAATATTATGATACATTTATAACATTTTTATTCCCTCAATATATTCATAGAGATTTAGAAAATTAAATATTTGAAGATGAATTAAAAGAGAGACTTATACGTGACTTTATTATTTAATAAAATAATCATATATTCAAAAAATAATTATTATAAATTATTATAAATCATATACTTAAAAAAAATATAATTAAAGCTTTTATCCAGAAAAAAGGGCAAAGTATATAATTCAATAATGAAAAACTATCTATATATAAAGAGATACAGAGAGAATGGAGAGAACAGAATTATCTTTAGTTTGCCACGATTCACATATATAAAACTTATTATCTTATTCAAGTCAATAACTTTACTTTCGATCTCTAGCTCAATGTCAATCCTGAACGATTTTTCACAGATACGCGTGCAAGTGTACATTGTATAGCCTAGCGGTGAATGTAAAATGAGAAAAACTTTAGTTTCCCTTACTCATATGCATGATGCTCGGCTGCGCATCAATTATCAACATCTTCCTTTGTGGTAAAAATGTCGAAGAAATTACGCTTATAGATATCTGATCCTGATTATTTCTCAGTTGATTGGGCTCCCGGTCATTCCATCTATTATCGTCGACATTCTGTGCATTTTGTCCGATTGGAATTGTACCTTGAATGTTATGTCTGTGATTACTGACTAGATAGCTGCTCACCTAGTTTCAAAACGAATCAGAAGTTTCCTTAGCTTAGCACGACATGTTCTAAATAATGATGAACTATGAGACATAGGAAACTTATCTCTCTCTCTTTCACGTTATTAAGAAATTGTAATACTAAAGATATTTTTTCAAATGTCTCGACTTGAGAGAGTATTAACGTACACAGGATGTCTCAAATTTTGTACAAAAATTTTCTGATCTTCCACAAAATATTTTTGTTTAAAATCAGATAAAGAGAATTAGTTAGATATCTTTTAGATGTAATTTTTTTGTTTTATTCTACTATTTTTCATACTAAGGAAAAATACAGAACCACTTAAGTTTCAAGTAGATTTAAATGAAAAAAATGAAAAAATGAATTAATAATTAAATTAAATGAAAAAAAAATAGTTTTAGTAAGATAAATATTTTACTTGCATTCTCATTTTACTAAAAATTAAATAAGAAAAAATATGTGCAATATTTTGTTAAGATACTGAATACATGTTATAAACACATATTAACATTTATATTTTAAACGCAACTTGACTTATCGATGTATTGTCGATTGTTAACAACATAAGAGTATTAATTATCAGAGAATTTTTTTTAAAATTCCATGAAAATTGTCTGACTTTTCCAGATACAAAAAAATTCCTGTGAATTTCAAGTTTTCGCAAGAAGTAGACATCCTGCGTGCAATACATCCTGTGATGTTAGATGCACGTATCGAGTATACCTTACAAGAATTTAATTTATCTTTATTATTATGCTCACCGAAAAAATGAGAAAAACAGCGAGCAAAACAACGCCGAGCCAAAAATACCAGGTCTCCCAGAGGTGACGTGGTCGCCGTTGCAGTATGAGACAGCACTGCGAATTACGACAATACAAACAATACTCAGATGTGCACGCGTACTCGATCACGTCACTGTCACTGTCGTTTTTAAAGTCACATTCGTAATATTGTATCATGTCTATCCCTTTTGGGCATTCGCATCGCACTTTGTTGTCCGCGTGACACGATAAGAATTAAAAATTTAATCGACGAGACCACCGCTCATGTTTTCATAATAAAACATTCGACACATCAATGCGCGATGATAGATCAACGAAAGAGCATTGCATCCGAATAAATAGTCTAAAAAAATATCTAGCGTTATTTTCGACAAACACGAGCTGACTCCCTCTCGCGTTAACAAATTATTTTTTTGCTCCACTTAGCTAAATCAATGAGATAAATATCGCATGAATTTTCTTAACAATTTATCCTTAAAAATAACTTTATCACTCTCTTACATTTAACACGGCAAATCTTTACAAATCGCTTGACGCAACGTTTCCTTAAAGGATATTCAACGGATAGACTCCGTGTTCGACTAATGCTATCATTTACTGGACTGGACAGGCACAAAATAATCGATAGAACAAACGCGGTAAGTTATTCACGCAACACGACTAATCGATAGAAAAATGACCGAACAAACCGTGTTGTTATAATTAGCGTTGTTCCATTCTCGCGTACCTTAACTAATTCAGCATTACTTTGAATAATTAATTAAAGCAGTTAATTAACTAAACTTAAGATTGATCAATACTTCGTTTAATCAATTAGTCTATAATTAATCTAAAATCTATACGCAATGTGTATGTGTATGTGTAGTTTATTTATAATATAATAATTTATATTTAGATATAAAAATTTAACTTAAAAAAGGCTAATTTTTGCAAAAATAATATTCATCGACTGTAAAATATTAAATTGTTATGTATTATATTTTTATCAATTATATTATCCACGCAATGTAAAAATGTTAAACTATAAGAGATATTAATATTGATTGCTGTCGTGAGGAGGAGGCGGAGGCGGAGGACCTCTTGGCGGGAAAGGGGGTCGAAATTGAGGAGGAGGTGGAGGCGGTGGACCACCTTGTGAAACAGGCGGAGGGGGCGGGTGTCGCCAAGTTGGGGGAGGTCTTGGAGGTGATGGTTGAAACTGTCCGTATTGCGAGGGTCCACCGGTAGCGGATGGCGGAGGAGGCGGTGGAAATTGTCCCTGCGGAGGCCCTCCCATAGCCCAATGCGGAGGCGGCGGTGCCATCATCCTCGAGGCAGCCGATTGCGCCTGTGAAGTCGGTACGGGCATTGGCGGTAAAGGGGGTGGCATACCTGGTGGTAAAGGAGGATGCGTCATAGACATAGGTGGCAAAGGAGGCGGAGGAATGTTCGCCGGTGGAAATCCACCAGACGGTGCGGGCACAGGAGGCGGAGGAGGATGACCCATCGGTGGTCCTGGAGTTGACGGCGGTGGCGGCGGAGGCACGACCATTCCATGGTGCATCACATGATGTGGAGGATGATGGGCAGATTGATGAGCGTTCGCGTTCGAGTTTGGCATCGGCGGCGGCGCCAATGGCGGTGCGTCGCGAACAATTGATGCGGTCTGTCCGCTGGCTCAGCGGATTCTGAGCCTAGAAGTCTTCCGCGGCCTACCAATGGCGGGAAAGGCGGAGGGGGGGTGGTGGCCAGTGGGGGAGGTCTTGGAGGTGATGGTTGAAACTGTCCGTATTGCGAGGGTCCACGGTAGCGGATGGCGGAGGAGGCGGTGGAAATTGTCCCTGCGGAGGCCCTCCCATAGCCCAATGCGGAGGCGGCGGTGCCATCATCCTCGAGGCAGCCGATTGCGCCTGTGAAGTCGGTACGGGCATTGGCGGTAAAGGGGTGGCATACCTGGTGGTAAAGGAGGATGCGTCATAGACATAGGTGGCAAAGGAGGCGGAGGAATGTTCGCCGGTGGAAATCCACCAGACGGTGCGGGCACAGGAGGCGGAGGAGGATGACCCATCGGTGGTCCTGGAGTTGACGGCGGGGGCGGCGGAGGCACGACCATTCCATGGTGCATCACATGATGTGGAGGATGATGGGCAGATTGATGAGCGTTCGCGTTCGAGTTTGGCATCGGCGGCGGCGCCAATGGCGGTGCGTCCGCGAACAATTGATGCGGTCTGTCCGCCTGGCTCAGCGGATTCTGAGCGGCTAGAAGTCTTTCCGCGGCACTACCATGCCTCTCACCCTTCGCGTCGCGTTTGAAGGCGTACGATACAGAGATTGGCCGATTGCACAAATACTGACCGTTCATCGCCTCGATACTCGCATCCGAAGCGTCGAAAGAAGCAAAGTTGATGAAAGCGAAGCCTTTCGAGTTGCCAGTCTCAGGATCTCTCATTATCTACAATGCATTGATATGTGCTTTAGAATTAAGGAAGCTATATAAATATTGACAGTTAAAGATTCTACAGTTCATAATATAAAATTATTATAGTAAAATTAATGAAGTATGTACCTTTGGTGTTTGCAGGATCACACCAAATGCGCTGAATGTATCGTATAACAATTTTTCGTCCACCTCTGGATCAAGATTCCCTATAAATATATTTGCTCCAACATCTAAATTCTTTTGATGCGCACTAGCTTTGTTCACTCGAATAGGTTTACCATAGAGCTTAATCATGTTCATGATTTTAATGGCATAATCTGCATCTTCTTCTCCCATAAATTCAACAAAACCATATCCTTGATGCATTTGGGTTACTCTATCTTTCGGCATGTGTACGTTAACTGAAAAAAATTGTATATTTTTAGAGTAATTAAACAGTATTTAAATTTATATGATTCAAAAATATCTTTTTAAAATATATATAAAAAATATGTTTCTTCAAATCTATTTGTAATAGTTATAATTGTAACATGTAAACTCGCTCTCTTACCAACAGGTCCTGATTGAACAAACAGTTCCCACATGAGGGATTCTGTGACTTTGTCATCCAGTCCTCCGACATATATTGTTGCATCTACAAATTTTTATGTAAATATCTGTATAAATACATGTCATAAATTTAAAAAAAAATTAAATTTCGAATAAATGTATTGATTACAAATTTGAAGAAATGTAAATATATTTATTGGAAATTAACCTCAATCAAATTTTTTAACGCGCGCGCAACAGTATGAGTATTAATCAATTTTCTTTTCAAACATGTAATATCGAAAGTGATAAGACTTATTCAAGATAGTATGCTATTTAAGTCAAAAAATTGAAATATACCTTGATTACGTTCCGCGATCGGACCGGCTGCCATAATTCTCAACTGTGCTTTTCGGAACCATAGAAATTTAAAATACATAGAGGGAACATTAATCGCTGATATCAAATATCGCATCTATCTGTTTATGCATCATGACTGTTGATTCAAGAAGTATTTTTATGAATATTATTATTATATTAATATAAACGATAAATTCTTTTAATACTATCATTTAGATGTCTAATATAAAAAGACAATTTTCCATGCCTTTATTTTTTAAATATATCATTCAAATAATAATGCAATTATCAGAATTCAAATGTAAGCAGAGGTGGCGAAAAATGGTGGACCAATCATCGCGATCGCAGACCTTTAAGGTAGGTTTTCACTTGACGCTGAAAATGAGCGTCGAGTGTCAAATGAAAATCTACTCTTAAATAGGCTTGTCCCTTTTAACTGAACTAAACCGAAATAGAAAATGAGATAGATATATATTTACAAGTTCGAAAGGAAGAAAGGATAGACGAGAAATGTGCAAAAAAAGCTCGGTTAAACAGAACGAACTTTATTTTAGAAGGTCGCGATTCTGCTTTTAAGAACCTTTACATAAATCCTATACCTCAAATCATGTTACGTTCCGTCTAGATATTTCTTCGTCCATGAGTGCATTGTCAATTACAGTCATGCTGCGGTTAACTATGTTCGTCTGCAATTAATTTCGCTACGCGTGGTTCATATTCGAAGTCACATGGAAGTTTGTAAATAATTTCTCTTTAGATTGAAAAATTTATCGTTATATAAAAAAATGTCGCGACATCGAGACGTTCGTTGTATGAATTATTCAGATGGTAAGCAATTTACATAGAGCATATGTGTAAATTATTTTATTTTTCATTGAATTTTTAATTATAATTTATACTATTGAGCATCATTTTTTGTTTTTATTATAAGATTGAAAGAATGATAATACTCTTATTATTATAATTTTAATTCTAAATTCTTCCTACATCCATATTACAAATATTATAAATATATTTTCTGATATTTTACTTATTAAAAATATATAGAAGTTAGTATAATCTTGATATACAATAGATAATATATAGTAAATAATCTTTTTGAGACCATAAAAATATATTTTGTACAGAATATGATGGCTACGATGATGTATATGGACATTCAATGGAGGATGATTATTGTGTATCACCTAGTGGTATGTTATTTATTGGTTCATAGATTTCTCAATTTTTAATAAAACAATTACATAATTATTAATCTCATACATATATATATAGCGGAGCAGTTTTTATTTGATCGAAGCAAGCAACAGAATATTGCTTCCTTTATCACAGAACCAGATATAGTGGAAGACAATGAAGATATTGATGAATCTTCGTCATCACTCAATGAAGATAAATATAATCTTTCCGAGTTGGAAAAAGCAAAATTAATATTTTGTTTAGAAGCAATTAGAAATATCATAGGTGATGCTGTGCCTGAATCTAAGTTGAAGGAAAAGATTATTACATCAAATTTTGATACAGATGTAGCACTTGATGCTATTTTAAAAGAATCTTCGCCGAAAAATGGTATGTTTATTATATTGATGTAATGAATATATAACAACTGATATAAATTGATATAAAAATAAATCTTGAAATATATATATTTACAGATCCAGTGATAAGTAAGGAACGGTTGGAACGATATCCAGGTATGTGTTGCATAAAATTATATCATTTTGAAATAATGCTTAACATTATTTCAAAATAAGAGATATGAATATTTAAAACAATTTAATGACCTCATGCTTTTGTTTTTTTCATGTTTCTTGTATGGGACTTGATCTTGGTAAGGTAAGGTGTTTCAGTTGATAAGCCTAACACATTTATGTTTACAATACCTAAGCTTTCTTTTGAAAAAAAAGATAATTTACTCAAAGATTCTACTTCAACTGCATATTGTCATCTAAACAACATAGATAATTCAAGCAATGAAAAACGTTCTCTCGGAACGTTTTCATCATTAGCTGGACTTATATCCCATCACACAGAATCCATACATTCAGATACAGCAAAAATAACTTCACAAAATAATATGGATACACAGTGTTTTGGTTCTTTAGCAGCTTTAACTGCGCATCATTTGCAAAAATCTAGTGCTAATGTAGAATTTCGCGAAAAGGAACAATTGCCCAATTCACAGTTTGTTATTCCAAAATTGTCAATGAAGAAAAATGATAACACGAATGTAAAGAATATACAATCGTTGAAACTTCATAACAATAGTAAAAAACAGTCAGTACATGCAAATAGCAAACATCCAATTAATTTACTAGAAAAAAATTTTTCGGACATGTATATTTCTTTAGAAAATAACGATGTGACAAACGTAGAATCCAAAAAACAATTTAAAGATCCAATAAATGTTGTAAATGAGGTACGCACTCCGTCGCCTGACAATTGGATGATTGATTTGAGTACTGCTTTAAAAGAAGCGGAATTTTTGACCGACTGCATCTCTAATGCTAATTTAACTGCTTCGAAAAAATTTTATTACGATATGCCTAATTTAGAAATGTGTATCGAAGATAATAAAAATAGCGTAATATCGAATACGCTACCTGTTACTATAAATTTGTGCGCATTAAGACACATTGAGCTTCCATATACGAAAAAAAATGTTTCAGTATTTGGGAGAACTTTGTGTAGAAAGTGGAAAACGAAAAAACCAGTTCTTAAAATTCCCATACAATGTTATGACACAGTTAAATCTTTTGATTTTTCTACTCCATATCAAAGATATCCAAATCGATCTTAATAATTAAACGCATTTAAAAATAATGAATTGATACTTTTATTGAAGATGATTATATATATTTTTATCTTCAGTTTCTTATAACAGTTTTAGGTTTTATTAATAAAATCAGGAGAGAACAGGATGTTTTCCATTAGATATCTAATTATATACATAATTATACAAAAAATAATTATAAAATTAATAGAAAATTAATTATATACATCTCTTTCATTATGTATATATATGTATCTCTATATATATATATAACATCCATATATATACGTATGTATGCATGTGTATATATACATACATATATATATTGCATACATTATGTATATATTTGTATATATAATATATACACATTATTTGATATGTAATTTGTTGCAACATATTACATGTCAAAATCAGCACTATATATTATATTATTGATAGTAATATAGTATATTACTGATTATATACAACGTATTTAAATTTATATAATTTCTGTATAATATTAAGAATATATATACATATATACATACAGCTACAAATTATATAAAAGTTTATTCTATCTTCTCATGTAATTATCTTAGTACAATTAAATTTCATAACAGGTAACAAATTATCATCTAAATCTGCATTGCAAGTTACAACACCTTCTACTGTGAAGGTAGTTCCCGCTGGAACGAAACCCGTAGTAAAAGGTTTCGATCTAAGCGGTGTAGAAAACGCAGATTTATTGAATCCGTGCTGCGAGAGCCCGTCTTCCAATCGAAATAGTCCTGAGACTAAACGTAAGGAGGATATCATACAAAGGGAGAAGAAAACGGTCTCGTCGAAAACTAACAGTCCGAGATGCCAATCACCCATATCAGGTCACGTAACACCGGAATTTGATCACAAGGGAAAATCTAATGCAGCTAATGAGGAGAAAATTGATGTTCAAGCAATATATAAGGATAAGAGAGGCGATAGCAAGGAGCAGCTTCATTTGGTAGTTGTAGGACATGTCGACGCTGGAAAAAGCACGTTACTCGGACGACTACTATGCGATTTAGGTCAAGTGTCGCAGAGACTCATTCACAAGTACCAGCAAGAAAGCAAGAAAATAGGAAAGCAATCGTTCGTCTACGCTTGGGTACTCGATGAAACCGGTGAAGAGAGGTGATTACTCGACATTGTATCATCAGTCTTTCACAAAATTATTTCAGGGAAATATATTGCCATTATGATATATATCTTTAATAGAGAACGAGGAATAACGATGGATATAGGCCATTCGAAGTTTGAAACAGACACAAAGTCTATCACTCTCCTAGATGCGCCTGGCCACAAGGATTTTATTCCAAATATGATAACTGGCGCTACGCAAGCCGACGTAGCTTTATTAGTGGTTGATGCGACCAGAGGCGAGTTCGAAACTGGATTTGACAGTGGAGGACAAACGCGCGAGCACGCACTTTTACTTCGTTCTTTAGGTAATCTCAGCAATCCTCATTTATATTGATTATATGAGAAATGGATATATATTGACAATTTTATTTCGAAATTGTGTTATCTCAAATTTTGATCGAATATTCAGGGGTATCGCAACTGGCAGTAGTTGTAAATAAACTTGATACTGTAAATTGGTCCAAGGACAGATTCAACGAAATAGTAGATAAAATGAGCGTTTTCCTGAAACAAGCTGGCTTTAAAGACACTGTCACTTTCGTACCTTGTAGTGGTTTATCCGGCGAAAACATCGTGACAAAACCAAAAGAACAACTCTCTAACTGGTAACTATTAACGCATTTCGATATTCCACATATTTTTATTTGTCTCTAACTAAATTATTTATAGGTACACTGGACCTACTTTAATCAGTGTAATTGATAATTTCAAGTGCCCGGAACGACCTGTAAATAAACCATTCCGTTTCTCGGTCAATGATATATTTAAGGGTACTGGATCCGGATTTTGTGTATCTGGCCATGTTGAAACGGGTATGGTATCTTTAGGTGACAAGGTACTGATATTACCACAAAATGAAATTGCAGTTGTTAAAGGTTTGTTTTAAGTTGAATCTACAACTATAGATCATTGTACAAAGAAGTGTAAGAATTATAATATTACTATAATTTTTCACATATAGGTCTCCAATCGGATGAAATCTCGACGACAAATGCATTCGCCGGTGATCACGTTGCGTTGACATTAGCAGGGATTGATCAGCAAAACGTAGGCGTTGGCGATATTATTTGTAATCCGCAGAATCCGGTGCCCGTAACAACATGCTTTCAAGCACACGTAGTTATATTTGCAATAGCGAGACCAATCACGAAAGGGCTTCCAGTGGTGATGCACCAACAATCTTTGGTACAGCCAGCATTCATCACGAAATTAATAGCGCAGCTTCATCGAAGTACCGGTGATGTGATTAAAAAGAAACCACGTTGTTTACCGAAGAATTCTAGCGCAATCATTGAGGTTGCAACACAAAATCCAGTCTGCATGGAATTATACAAAGATATTAAGCAACTAGGTAGAGTTATGTTACGATTAGAAGGTACCACCATTGCAGCTGGTTTAATTACAAAAATTTTGTAAATCTGGATCTATACATCTCGAAAAAAAGAGTCTCAATAATACGCAACACAATTTTTTCACAGAGGTATCTTACAATTAAATCTAATATATGCATTGCTCTTGTATTTATATATTACATAAACATGAATAAAAATTGATAGGTTGTACTTTATCTTATTTACAATAATACAAAAGACTTCATTGACTTAAAGACTTTTTTCTTAGTTAATATATATTGTATAATATATTTGTGTTTGTAATATATGTTAAATGTACAATTAATTTAATATGTTCAATAAAAATATAATCTACATTATTTTCATTAATGATTGCATCAATTGTAGCTTTTTGAGAGAGAGTTATTTGAATCTCTTAATAATTAAAGAGTATAGTGTTAAATATATACTAGAAAAATAATTTTGGGGCATATTACATTTGTCGTTTGATAAGCTTTATCAGATATATTGATTGATAGCTATTGCAAAAAACTTTCAAAATTATAAGAATTCTTTTAAGAAAATTAAAGATTTTTTAACCAATAATGAATACATTCAATAAGTTTGATGAATGATAAAATGCATCCTTAAGTTCTTAAAAGTTAATATATTAAATATTCAACTATTTTATAAAATTTACAAAAGAATCAAGAGATAATTACTGCAAAAATAAGTTTTGATATATTAGATAATTATTTACTATGCTGTAACTATATTAGACAAGTTGACACAAATACAATTGCATATTTAACTTTTCAATCATATCAATGTCAAAGCCAGGTATTTTCTTTTCTTATATTTAAATATATTATAGATAAATTTAAAAAAATATTTTATCTGGCACAACTACTGCAACCTCCGAAGAATGGAATGTCGACATTATTTCCTGTATTTGGTCTACCAAGCCTACGTGGAGGAGGTCGCGGCCTATGTAATAAATAAAATTACAAAATTTATTATTTTTTCATGTTTATCGTTCGATACGTGCTATTTAAAAAAAAAATACTCTACCCAGATCCTGGTCGGTAATCTCTTGTATGTTGACTTTCTGCTCTATTCATGCCAGGACTGATTAATGTCTGAAAACTATTTCCAGTATATTATAGTATACGTTAAAAGAATAGAAAAGAACAATTATATAATTAGTAAATCATTATATAATTAAATAATAATGATATAATTAGTAAATCAAAAGATAAATAAAATTTGGTAAATTATTAGAATAAATTATTATTAAGTACACTTACAACATAATGACCATGTAAATTATTCCTGTGAAGAATCCAAAAACTCTTCTTAATCCCCAAGGAGTAGAATTTACTACATTTCCATCTATAAAAGAGAGAAATACAATATATATAGAATGCAAAGGTTCAACATCTCTCCTTTAAATATAAATTTTTTCTTAAATTGGAGAATGTTTCTCTCTCGTTTTTAACTTGAGAAAGTTAGAAGAATTTTATATATAACAAATATATCAATCTGGTTAAAGTATATTACCGCCTGTCACATAAGCCATATTTGAAGCAGCTAACACACTCGTTGACAAATAATTTCTCGATGTAAATACTAGCAACAATCTTTCTGACTTGTTAATTTTGTGATATACGCGTTTTATACGCGATTACTATGCATAATTTACGTTTCTCGCGTTATCTCTGACAGCTCTGACAACTTCAAAAACGTGGATTCTTTCCATTTAGCAACACAAGCATCATTCTGTCTTTTTTCAACATCAGTGAATAACAAAGATAGAATGACTTTTGCGACTAATATCGCTAAATAGAAAGCACTCAAGGTGCAATTTCATTGACGCTAAAAAGTAGCGTCAACCATTGGTTGAACAAAGAAGTAAGTAGTTGCTTCTTTGTTCAACCAATTGTTGACGCTACTTTTTAGCGTCAATGAAATTGCACCTTCATGCATACATCAGACGAAACGATACGAACGTTACACGAAACTCAATTTGATTGGAGGATAGGATAAAGTCAGAGAGAAATCTGAGAGCGGCCACCTCGCTTTAACGGGTATATTGTCCTAATGCGCTCCCTGACAAAGTGGACGTCAACTACATCCATAACAGTCGATAATAATACATGGTTCGTGTCTGAGCTATGGTTCATGTCCAAGCAATGGAGTGACCCCAAAAGTGATACTCCCTCTATGGACATTCAAAACATGGACATGAACTACAAAGTCAAAGTCCATGAATGTTCTCAGAGGGTAATATATAATTGCACAATTTCTGGTTTTGTTCCGTACTATGTGCACGAAATGCCGGTAGCACCAGTGCTATATAACAATTAAATACTTATGTGTGTAAATTGATAATAAATAAATTATTCAATCGCGACAGATACTGTAATATTCAAAGATGAAATAAATATTTTTCAAAATAAATTGGTAAATAATACGGCTCTATGTATTTATCAACATGATAATTAAGTAAAGAGCATTAAGAGCCCACAAAACGCGGATGGCAATGCGTAAATTATTTCGAACATTAATTGTTCGCGAATTTTTTTTTTTTTTTTTTTTTTTAAATGCGTTATTAGGAGAACATGATTTGTAAACAGATCATCAACGCATTATCGACCTCCTCGCAAAATATATTCTCCTGATAATATAAAATAATAAGAAACGAATTTTCGAAAATTTTCACGCTTGCGTTATTAGGAGAACATGATTTGTAAAGAGGTCATCAACGCATCTTCGACCTCCTCGCAAAATATATTCTCCTGATAATATAAAATAATAAGAAACGAATTTTCGAAAATTTTCATGCTTGCGTTATTAGGAGAACATGATTTGTAAAGAGGTCATCAACGCATCTTCGACCTCATCGCACAATATATTCTCCTGATAATATAAAATAATAAGAAACGAATTTTCGAAAATTTTCACGCTTGCGTTATTAGGAGAACATGATTTGTAAAGAGGTCATCAACGCATCTTCGACCTCCTCGCAAAATATATTCTCCTGATAATATAAAATAATAAGAAACGAATTTTCGAAAATTTTCACGCTTGCGTTATTAGGAGAACATGATTTGTAAAGAGGTCATCAACGCATCTTCGACCTCCTCGCAAAATATATTCTCCTGATAATATAAAATAATAAGAAACGAATTTTCGAAAATTTTCATGCTTGCGTTATTAGGAGAACATGATTTGTAAAGAGGTCATCAACGCATCTTCGACCTCATCGCACAATATATTCTCCTGATAATATAAAATAATAAGAAACGAATTTTCGAAAATTTTCACGCTTGCGTTATTAGGAGAACATGATTTGTAAAGAGGTCATCAACGCATCTTCGACCTCCTCGCAAAATATATTCTCCTGATAATATAAAATAATAAGAAACGAATTTTCGAAAATTTTCATGCTTGCGTTATTAGGAGAACATGATTTGTAAAGAGGTCATCAACGCATCTTCGACCTCCTCGCAAAATATATTCTCCTGATAATATAAAATAATAAGAAACGAATTTTCGAAAATTTTCACGCTTGCGTTATTAGAAGAACATGATTTGTAAAGAGGTCATCAACGCATCATCGACCTCCTCGCAAAATATATTCTCCTGATAATATAAATTATAAGAAACGAATTTTCGAAAATTTTCGCGCTTGCGTTATTAGGAGAACATGATTTGTAAAGAGGTCATCAACGCATCATCGACCTCTTCGCAAAATATATTCTCCTGATAATATAAAATAATAACAAACGAATTTTCGAAAATTTTCACGTTTGCGTTATTAGGAGAACTGGATTTGTAAAGAGGTCATCAACGCATCATCGACCTCCTCGCACAATATATTCTCCTGATAATATAAATTATAAGAAAATGATGCGTTGATGACCTCTTTACAAATCATGTTCTCCTAATAACGTAAGCGCGAAAATTTTCGAAAATTCGTTTCTTATTATTTTATATTATCAGGAGAATATATTTTGCGAGGAAGTCGATGATGCGTTGATGATCTCTTTACAAATCATGTTCTCCTAATAACGCAAGCGCGAAAATTTTCGAAAATTCGTTTCTTATAATTTATATTATCAAGAGAATATATTGTGCGAGGAGGTCGATGATGCATTGATGACCTCTTTACAAATCATGTTCTCCTAATAACGCAAACGTCAAAATTTTCGAAAATTCGTTTCTTATAATTTATATTATCAGGAGAATATATTTTGCGAGGAGGTCGATGATGCGTTGATGAACTCTTTACAAATCATGTTCTCCTAATAACGCAAGCGCGAAAATTTTCGAAAATTCGTTTCTTATAATTTATATTATCAGGAGAATATATTTGCGAGGAGGTCGATGATGCGTTGATAACCTCTTTACAAATCATGTTCTCCTAATAACGCAAGCGTGAAAATTTTCGAAAATTCGTTTCTTATTATTTTATATTATTAGGAGAATATATTTTGCGAGGAGGTCGATGATGCGTTGATGACCTCTTTACAAATCATGTTCTCCTAATAACGCAAACGTCACAATTTTCGAAAATTCGTTTCTTATAATTTATATTATCAGGAGAATATATTTTGCGAGGAGGTCGATGATGCGTTGATGACCTCTTTACAAATCATGTTCTCCTAATAACGCAAGCGCGAAAATTTTCGAAAATTCGTTTCTTATAATTTATATTATTAGGAGAATATATTTTGCGAGGAGGTCGATGATGCGTTGATGACCACTTTACAAATCATGTTCTCCTAATAACGCAAGCGTGAAGATTTTAGAAAATTCGTTTCTTATTATTTTATATTATCAGGAGAATATATTTTGCGAGGAGGTCGATGATGCGTTGATGACCTCTTTACAAATCATGTTCTCCTAATAACGCAAGCGCGAAAATTTTCGAAAATTCGTTTCTTATAATTTATATTATCAGGAGAATATATTTTGCGAGGAGGTCGATGATGCGTTGATGACCTCTTTACAAATCATGTTCTCCTAATAACGCAAGCGTGAAAATTTTCGAAAATTCGTTTCTTATAATTTCTATTATCAAGAGAATATATTTTGCGAGGAGGTCGATGATGCGTTGATGACCTCTTTACAAATCATGTTCTCCTAATAACGCAAGCGTAGAAATTTTCGAAAATTCGTTTCTTATTATCTTATATTATCAGGAGAATATATTTTGCGAGGAGGTCGATGATGCGTTGATGACCTCTTTACAAATCATGTTCTCCTAATAACGCAAGCGTGAAAATTTTCGAAAATTCGTTTCTTATTATTTTATATTATCAGGAGAATATATTTTGCGAGGAGGTCGATGATGCGTTGATGATCTCTTTACAAATCATGTTCTCCTAATAACGCAAACGTGAAAATTTTCGAAAATACGTTTCTTATAATTTATATGATCAGGAGAATATATTGTGCAAAGAGGTCGATGATGCGTTGATGACCTCTTTACAAATCATGTTCTCCTAATAACGCAAGCGTGAAAATTTTCGAAAATTCGTTTCTTATTATTTTATATTATCAGGAGAATATATTTTGCGAGGAGGTCGATGATGCGTTGATGACCTCTTTACAAATCATGTTCTCCTAATAACGCAAACGTCACAATTTTCGAAAATTCGTTTCTTATAATTTATATTATCAGGAGAATATATTTTGCGAGGAGGTCGATGATGCGTTGATGACCTCTTTACAAATCATGTTCTCCTAATAACGCAAGCGCGAAAATTTTCGAAAATTCGTTTCTTATAATTTATATTATTAGGAGAATATATTTTGCGAGGAGGTCGATGATGCGTTGATGACCACTTTACAAATCATGTTCTCCTAATAACGCAAGCGTGAAGATTTTAGAAAATTCGTTTCTTATTATTTTATATTATCAGGAGAATATATTTCGCGAGGAGGTCGATGATGCGTTGATGACCTCTTTACAAATCATGTTCTCCTAATAACGCAAACGTGAAAATTTTCGAAAATTCGTTTCTTATAATTTTATATTATCAGGAGAATATATTTTGCGAGGAGGTCGATGATGCGTTGATGACCTCTTTACAAATCATGTTTTCCTAATAACGCAAGCGCGAAAATTTTCGAAAATTCGCTTCTTATTATTTTATATTATCAGGAGAATATATTTTGCGAGGAGGTCGATGATGCGTTGATGACCTCTTTACAAATCATGTTCTCCTAATAACGCAAACGTGAAAATTTTCGAAAATTCGTTTCTTATAATTTTATATTATCAGGAGAATATATTTTGCGAGGAGGTCGATGATGCGTTGATGACCTCTTTACAAATCATGTTTTCCTAATAACGCAAGCGCGAAAATTTTCGAAAATTCGCTTCTTATTATTTTATATTATCAGGAGAATATATTTTGCGAGGAGGTCGATGATGCGTTGATGACCTCTTTACAAATCATGTTCTCCTAATAACGCAAACGTCACAATTTTCGAAAATTCGTTTCTTATAATTTATATTATCAGGAGAATATATTTTGCGAGGAGGTCGATGATGCGTTGATGACCTCTTTACAAATCATGTTCTCCTAATAACGCAAGCGCGAAAATTTTCGAAAATTCGTTTCTTATAATTTATATTATTAGGAGAATATATTTTGCGAGGAGGTCGATGATGCGTTGATGACCACTTTACAAATCATGTTCTCCTAATAACGCAAGCGTGAAGATTTTAGAAAATTCGTTTCTTATTATTTTATATTATCAGGAGAATATATTTCGCGAGGAGGTCGATGATGCGTTGATGACCTCTTTACAAATCATGTTCTCCTAATAACGCAAACGTGAAAATTTTCGAAAATTCGTTTCTTATAATTTTATATTATCAGGAGAATATATTTTGCGAGGAGGTCGATGATGCGTTGATGACCTCTTTACAAATCATGTTTTCCTAATAACGCAAGCGCGAAAATTTTCGAAAATTCGCTTCTTATTATTTTATATTATCAGGAGAATATATTTTGCGAGGAGGTCGATGATGCGTTGATGACCTCTTTACAAATCATGTTCTCCTAATAACGCAAACGTCACAATTTTCGAAAATTCGTTTCTTATAATTTATATTATCAGGAGAATATATTTTGCGAGGAGGTCGATGATGCGTTGATGACCTCTTTACAAATCATGTTCTCCTAATAACGCAAGCGCGAAAATTTTCGAAAATTCGTTTCTTATAATTTATATTATCAGGAGAATATATTTTGCGAGGAGGTCGATGATGCGTTGATGACCTCTTTACAAATCATGTTCTCCTAATAACGCAAGCGCGAAAATTTTCGAAAATTCGTTTCTTATAATTTATATTATCAGGAGAATATATTTTGCGAGGAGGTCGATGATGCGTTGATGACCTCTTTACAAATCATGTTTTCCTAATAACGCAAGCGCGAAAATTTTCGAAAATTCGCTTCTTATTATTTTATATTATCAGGAGAATATATTTTGCGAGGAGGTCGATGATGCGTTGATGACCTCTTTACAAATCATGTTCTCCTAATAACGCAAACGTCACAATTTTCGAAAATTCGTTTCTTATAATTTATATTATCAGGAGAATATATTTTGCTAGGAGGTCGATGATGCGTTGATGACCTCTTTACAAATCATGTTCTCCTAATAACGCAAACGTCACAATTTTCGAAAATTCGTTTCTTATAATTTATATTATCAGGAGAATATATTTTGCGAGGAGGTCGATGATGCGTTGATGACCTCTTTACAAATCATGTTCTCCTAATAACGCAAGCGCGAAAATTTTCGAAAATTCGTTTCTTATAATTTATATTATCAGGAGAATATATTTTGCGAGGAAGTCGATGATGCGTTGATGACCTCTTTACAAATCATGTTCTCCTAATAACGCAAGCGTGAAAATTTTAGAAAATTCGTTTCTTATTATTGTATATTATCAGGAGAATATATTTCGCTAGGAGGTCGATGATGCGTTGAAGACCTCTTTACAAATCATGTTCTCCTAATAACGCAAACGTGAAAATTTTCGAAAATTCGTTTCTTATTATTTTATATTATCAGGAGAATATATTTTGCGAGGAGGTCGATGATGCGTTGATGACCTCTTTATAAATCATGTTCTCCTAATAACGCAAGCGCGAAAATTTTCGAAAATTCGTTTCTTATAATTTATATTATCAGGAGAATATATTTTGCGAGGAGGTCGATGATGCGTTGATGACCTCTTTACAAATCATGTTCTCCTAATAACGCAAGCGTGAAAATTTTCGAAAATTCGTTTCTTATAATTTCTATTATCAAGAGAATATATTTTGCGAGGAGGTCGATGATGCGTTGATGACCTCTTTACAAATCATGTTCTCCTAATAACGCAAGCGTGAAAATTTTCGAAAATTCGTTTCTTATAATTTCTATTATCAAGAGAATATATTTTGCGAGGAGGTCGATGATGCGTTGATGACCTTTTTACAAATCATGTTCTCCTAATAACGCAAGCGTAAAAATTTTCGAAAATTCGTTTCTTATTATTTTATATTATCAGGAGAATATATTGTGCGAGGAGGTCGATGATGCGTTGATGACCTCTTTACAAATCATGTTCTCCTAATAACGCAAGCGTGAAAATGTTCGAAAATTCGTTTCTTATTATTTTATGTTATCAGGAGAATATATTTTGCGAGGAGGTCGATGATGCGTTGATGACCTCTTTACAAATCATGTTCTCCTAATAACGCAAACGTGAAAATTTTCGAAAATTCGTCTCTTATAATTTATATGATCAGGAGAATATATTGTGCGAGGAGGTCGATGATGCGTTGATGACCTCTTTACAAATCATGTTCTCCTAATAACGCAAATGTGAAAATTTTCGAAAATTTGTCTCTTATAATTTATATGATCAGGAGAATATATTGTGCGAGGAGGTCGATGATGCGTTGATGACCTCTTTACAAATCATGTTCTCCTAATAACGCAAACGTGAAAATTTTCGAAAATTTGTTTCTTATAATTTATATGATCAGGAGAATATATTTTGCGAGGAGGTCGATGATGCGTTGGTGACCTCATTACAAATCATGTTCTCCTAATAAAGCAAGCGCGAAAATTTTCGAAAATTCGTTTCTTATTATTTTATATTATCAGGAGAATATATTTTGCGAGGAGGTCGATGATGCGTTGATGACCTCTTTACAAATCATGTTCTCCTAATAACGCAAATGTGAAAATTTTCGAAAGTTCGTCTCTTATAATTTATATGATCAGGAGAATATATTGTGCGAGGAGGTCGATGATGCGTTGATGACCTCTTTACAAATCATGTTATCCTAATAACGCAAACGTGAAAATTTTCGAAAATTCGTTTCTTATAATTTATATGATCAGGAGAATATATTTTGCGAGGAGGTCGATGATGCGTTGGTGACCTCATTACAAATCATGTTCTCCTAATAAAGCAAGCGCGAAAATTTTCGAAAATTCGTTTCTTATTATTTTATATTATCAGGAGAATATATTTTGCGAGGAGGTCGATGATGCGTTGATGACCTCTTTACAAATCATGTTTTCCTAATAACGCAAGCGCGAAAATTTTCGATATATTCTCCTGATCATATAAATTATAAGAAACGAATTTTCGCGTTTGCGTTATTAGGAGATCATGATTTGTAAAGAGGTCATCAACGCATCAACGACCTCCTCGCAAAATATATTCTCCTGATAATATAAAATAATAAGAAACGAATTTTCGAAAATTTTCGCGCTTGCGTTATTAGGAGAACATGATTTGTAAAGAGGTCATCAACGCATCATCGACCTCCTCGCAAAATATATTCTCCTGATAATATAAAATAATAAGAAACGAATTTTCGAAAATTTTCACGCTTGCGTTATTAGGAGAACATGATTTGTAAAGAGGTCATCAACGCATCATCGACCTCCTCGCAAAATATATTCTCCTGATAATATAAAATAATAAGAAACGAATTTTCGAAAATTTTCGCACTTGCGTTATTAGGAGATCATGATTTGTAGAGAGGTCATCAACGCATCATCGACCTCCTCGCAAAATATATTCTCCTGATAATATAAAATAATAAGAAACGAATTTTCGAAAATTTTCGCGCTTGCGTTATTAGGAGAACATGATTTGTAAAGAGGTCATCAACGCATTATCGACCTCCTCGCAAAATATATTCTCCTGATAATATAAAATAATAAGAAACGAATTTTCGAAAATTTTCACGCTTGCGTTATTAGGAGAACATGATTTGTAAAGAGGTCATCAACGCATCTTCGACCTTCTCGCATAATATATTCTCCTGATAATATAAAATAATAAGATACGAATTTTCGAAAATTTTAACGGTTGCGTTATTAGGAGAACATGATTTGTAAAGAGGTCATCAACGCATCATCGACCTTCTCGCAAAATATATTCTCCTGATAATATAAATATACATATAATGACTGTCCATCTCTGAATAGTTCGGACATGAACCTATATCATAGACACAAACCATGTTTCGTTACCGAGCGTAATGGACATAGTTCACGTCCACTTTGTCAGACGGCGCGTCAAGCATCGAGAAATGTGCCCGTCGAGGCTGGTGGCCGCTCTCAAGTTTCTCTCTGATAGAATGAAAAATAAAAGCGTAGGAAAAAATCCCCATACACTTAGTGGAATAATTATCGAGATTTTAAAAATTCTCTATTCGATAACCAATCGACGTTCGAAATAGGAACTGATAACAGAAAATTATACTGTTGGCAGCAAATTTAAAATACATGCATTTGAATGTAAATGGAAGTCACGTTTTGTGCGTTTGAGATGCGGAAAAATAATTAGTAATTTTGTTGAAATGAACAGTGATAATAATTATTTGGCGTTAACGTAGCGCAGATTTTTTTAAAATGAGTAATTTTCACTCTCCTATGAAGTGTATATCTCCGAATGCAAGGTGAAAAACTTCATTCTTGTTATTTGATGAGGTTAGATCGTGTGTTCACGTGTGATTTTTGTATAAAATACTTTTAAAATATTTCATTTGCAGAGTTTTAACACCCAAGCCACAAGTACAGCAACTACTGGATTTGAGGCAAATGCAAACCAAAGCACGTAACAGTATCACATGGTTCTTTATCAACAGCGTGTTGCTTAGTATTATAATATTTGATATGTAAGATTCTCTGCTTTTTTTAAGCGATATGAAACGGGAAGTGATGTTAATAAGTTTGATGTTGTTTTCAGAGTATATGGTGGACCTGCTTATAAGCCAGTTTATTGGATCGAATGGTGTCTAGCATCTATATTTGCACTAAACGCTTTGTATCATATAATACGATATATATGGGCGACCTTGAGTTTGAAGCCAATTGCGCTCAGCCCCAAACAAAGACCACTTTTAGGAATCACGGAAGATGATCCTCTGTTCAAGACTGAAGTGCCTCAGAAGCAGAAAACTCCAGAGCCAAGCCCTTCATTGAATTTATCTTGTATAAATCTCAGTAGACGTACAACGCCTCTTGGATCTTCAGTTTTGAGTGAAATTAGTATGCAAAATATTATTTGACCTTTTATTATATTTTATATTTCAATATATAAAGCATAACTTTTTATATTTATCTTTTTTTTCAAGAGGACTGTTCGACATTTCTTAAATACTGTAGCCCTACATCTCCTAAATCAGCCGTAAGCTCTAATGGTTTGTATAGATCCTTAAACATTTCTTCAAACAGCAGCATGACAAATGAGGATCTTATTCAAGATGAATGTGAATTAGACAGTTATCTCAAAGAAATTGAACAGCAAAGAAAATATATATTATCTACAAAGGTTGATCAACCTTCCAATCTCTTGAGTTCCTTCTGGTCTCATCCTGCTACTCGAACTCCTGGTGAAGTATCACCATTATTAAGAAGATGTACTTATCAACTTGCACCTACCATTGGTAAATTGGAAATCCATTCCATATCAAATATTTTATATTTGTTTCACATCTTTATGCAAAATTATTTTAGTATAATATTCTTTATACTATTATTTAGATAAAACAAAAGCGACTAGTCCTGGTACTGAAGAAGGAAGCTCTCCAAGAGGTACATTTGGGGCATTGGATGTATGGAGAAAATACAGAGTTGATTTAAATAAAGTTAATGAATGGACTGCCAATCTTCGTATGGTAAGAATTACTTTAAGTGATTCTACATGTTATAAAAAGAATACGAATTATGCATAATTGAATTAAATTTGCTAAGTATATAATATTTTAGTGGATTAGTAAAACGGTTGTGGAACGAGTGGCTTTGGAAATAGATAGTATATGCGCGGCATTGGTACGTCATGGTTTGAGTGATTCGCAACCAGGTCATGTGGGACTTGACAGACTGAGAAAGCTCGCGCAAGCACCATTTCTGGTCTCCGCGATTCCTACTCTGCCCACATTGGTTCCTTTTTTGGAACTCTCTAACAATCAGGAGTATTTAGTAAAACGAATAAAAATACTCGCAAAGGGAGGATCTATGAGCGAATTTAAATGGAACAGTGGCGGATCTCACAATGGCAAAGAATGGGATTCTAGTTTGCCAACTGATTCGGCGGTGTGTATAGAAAATTATATAAAAATCTTCTCTTTAGCTTAAATATATATTTCCATAAATTTCGATCGATCTTTTTATAACATGTGTTCTGTATATTTCCCGTAGATAATAATGCACTTAATTTCGACTTATATGGATACCCAATTAGAAGCGCCCTTAGACCAACCGGACGCTAGACCGTTTACATCGAGATATATGGCGAGATCTGGTATGGAACTACCGCGGAACAAAGGTCCGATAATAGTTTGTCAGTCCGCGAATCCGCCGCACTATAGTCTGGCATTGTCCGGCGATTCGCTTCCGAGCGATTATGAAGAAGTACAACGGGTAACTAAAAAATTTAGCATGTGCTTATATATTTTTATATAATTTTTATATTATATAATAATTTTATATATTTCTATATGACGTGTTATTTCCAGGGACGTAATAATTTGTTCCATACGCTTTTACTCTTCTTATATATAGTCAAAACACGAGATCATGGCATGTTAGGACGAGTTAATGCAGGATCATCCGGAATCAATATTCTATGGGTGATAGATGGCTAAGATAAATTTTTCCATTTGCTATCTTATTAAAGAATTAAATTATAAAAAAGGAAAGAAACGAGTATCATAAAAAGTTATCATAAATTATCAAAAGATATTAGGACTATCATTTGGACACCCCTTTTATAATATCTTGATAACTGTTTACATCTTTTGTATCATCTTGATTTAATAATTACTCAATAAAATTGAAACATTTATATATTACTAAAAAGAAATCGATTATTTGAATGAAATTTGTATTCACATACTTGTAACTATATATAAAAAAATCAGATATGAGCCTTAATTATAAAGATCTCTATTTATTTGTAATTTAATAAAATTTTATCAAGATTAATATTTTGGAAATGATTAAATATTATTTTAATTTGACAATAATCTAATTTAAAAAAAATGTATACAGATACATAAAATATTTTGTATATTTATACATATTATGTGTGTACACACAAAACAAATAATCTTTTTTACTCCAAAATGAGAAAAGAATATTTGAATTAACTGTAATTTTATAAATGCAAATCTCTTTTACTCGAAAACATTTGCATTGCTCTTAATAATTGTACTATTAACTCGATTATAATTATTATATTATTTTGTAGAAACGGTAAGTCCATTTAATTTTCCTCATTCGATCCATTTAATTTTAATCTTCCTCAGACAAGACAGAACACGTATATAAATTTCTAAATATTTTTTCATTTCTATACTTGATTGGTCATCGAAACATATTTATAAAAAAGAGTAGATAATATTTAAACGAGATTTTTTATAATTTATTATTCTTTGGATTATAATGCATTGTAAAATTACAAATGATTATTTCAGAGCTCGAACCCATATATATATGTACAATAAAAGTTAATACAATAAGTGTTTAATAACTCCGATATCATAGACTACGATTAAGATTAGAACAAATACTTTATTTATGCAACAAAATCTAAGTAAGAAATCATATCTCACATATATATTGTAACAATGTTCATATAATGTATTTATACACGCAATATTACGTTTAGTCTCATACTAATTTTACAGTTGTTATGCAGACACGAATCATTATTACGTGTAAGAGTATGCCGTAAGAGCATATTATACATGAAACTTATCTATTGCCAAATTTACAATTTCTAAAATCTTTATATAATTTTGCGAGGAGGACAAAAGGCATGTTTAAAAATTATATATTTTAATGAAAAAAAAAAATTATTCAGCAATATATGAAATTTATATGACACTGATTACGTGGCATATAAGAAATATTTCACAAAGATAAAAACTTCATGCAATTTGGTTTTGTATATATAAGAATTGGTATTATAAAATCGCTTAAGATACTTTTCATAAGAAATATTACATGTGATACCCTGATGAAATAGCATTAATAAAAATAGCAAGTATAACAAATCCAATTTAAAAAAAAATCTTAGAAGATTTTTAAAAAGAATGATAATAATATAATATAAAAATTATTTTATATATCATTATATATGTATATATATGTTTCATTATTCATACTTAAAAAATTTTGTGTTTTCTAAATAAAATAATATCAATTTCATTATGAGATTTATAACTATTCTTCATTCTTTTTGCAAATAAAGTATTTTGGATATGGACTTTTTTTATTTAAAAGAAAAAGAAAGAAAAATCTGGAAGAACAAATTAATTGAAAAAAATATGGATATTATTTAATACATTAAGCTTTAAATATTTAAAAGCTATTATACTCTCTTATCTTTATCATGTGTGTCTTTTAAAAGGAAAAATCTCTCTATATTACATGTACATTTATGACAAAAATGTCTGCTTTTTCCTATTTTTCCATAATGATTTGTCAAATACGTTTACTTTATTCATTTTTGATAATACGCATTATTATATATGGAAAGGTACACATCTTTTGGAACTTCTAGATAAATTATTTATATATATATATATATATATATATATATATATATATATTTATATTTATATATATATATACTTTATTAACGCCTTCACCCGTTGTAAAAATAAACTTCAACGATTCATACATAATTGAGAAAAATGATCTCTCTCTTTCTCTTTTGGAAATTCATAATTATTAGTATTAACAGTACAGCTAGCATCACGCATACTTTTTGTTATTCAATGCAAGCAAATTCTCACGATAATGCATACAATGTCGGTCGCGTATCACGTTATATAGCATCGCTTCCAGTTTTCCCGTGGGCGTCGAAAAAATTGGGCGGGAATGAAAACGGGAGGATCACGGAGAGAGCTATAGAACAGAACTCGTTCAACTTGTACATTCTGCAATGTATCTTGCTACGCAAAAAGTATGTCTTTCTTTTTATATCTTAATCCAAGGATAGAAGATGATGGCTCGATTAAGAAGTGGTGAATATCTTTGTACCCTCGGGTAGTATCACCTCCTCGCCTACGTCAGTGAGGGTGACAGTAAGCGGCAAAATGAGCGGCATCAGTATCTCCTGTGGCATCACTTGCTGCGACGTGGCCACCGTAGTCACCGGTTCCGCCTGCCTCGCTATAGCAATCGTCTTGATGTTTTGCGCTTTGACAACCTGCGCTTGGCCAAGCGTGGTCTGATGCATCCTGACCTGTGACTGCTGCTGTACCTGTATCTGCACTTGAGGTTGCTGTTGCTGTTGTTGCGGCTGCGGCTGTATCTGCTGCTGCATCATCTGCTGAGCACGGTTCTGATTCTGCAAGAGATTCTGCTTACAACGTTTGCTGTGCGCGTAACGGCTGCCGTTGTTGTTGAACTTGCGGTCGCAAGTCGGACACTCATAAGGTCGTTGACCTGTATGAATAAACATGTGTTCCTTCAATGACTTCAATCGTCGGAAGTTCTTCGGACAACATTTGCAGTGATACTTGGCCTCTCCGGTATGCGATGTCAAGTGATTCGCCAAAGTGTCGGCTCGCGCGAACGCTCGCGAACAATACTGACAGACGTACGGCCGTTCTTGCGTATGCGTGCGCATATGCATCTTCAGATAGGCGTTGGTGGTGAACGGTCTAGAGCAAACCTCGCACACGTAAGGCTTGATGCCGTTGTGCGCGCGCAAATGAGCTATCAGCGTCGTCGACTGCGTGAAACTCTTGCTGCAGATCTCGCAGAGGAATCTCTTCGAGCTATCGGTTTCCTTGTTCTTCTTGAAGGTACGATCGTGTTTGGACAGATGATTGTTGAGCTGCTCCTCCTTGATGAAGCGTTTGGTGCATCGGGTGCACTTGTACGGCTTTATCATATTGTGCTTGGCCACGTGGATTTTGAGATGTTCCCGCCTATAAAATTTCTTCGGGCATATATCGCACAAATATTTCTTACCTTCGTGTACTTGAATGTGCCGCAAGAGACCCTTTCTGGAGGTATACTGTTTATTGCATTCGGTGCATTCGAGGCCCACGATATCGGTTCTTCTCTTTCGACCGATTTTCTCGCCCGATTTCTTATCCTCGGGTTTCGGTTCGATGTCCCGCAAATCTTCTTCGGTTAAGATACCCTCGGTGACGTGTTTGGCCCGATGTTCCCGCAGGATCTCATTGTTCTCGAAACTGTCTCCGCATATATTGCACTTCCTCACCTGATCGGGATTCTTCTCGGAGCACTTATCATAGTGCGCCTTTAGCTTATCCTTACGGTAGAACTTGACGTTGCAAATGTCGCATTCGAAGTTCGGTTCCTCGTGTAGCAGCTGGTGCCGTAGCAACGATTTCTTCGTGCTGTAGCGTTTCTTGCACGTGGCACATTCGTGACTATCCATCGGCCAATCGAGACCGCTTTCGAAATCCGAGTCATCGTCGTCGTCATCATTATCGCCTATTGTATTCGTTTTTTGCGCCTCCTTCTTGTCCGAAGCGGCCTTCTTCAACTTCTCCGCCGCTTTCTCGTCTTTCACGTGTTGTTCCATGTGCTTCGTCAGTGCTTGCTTCGAACTGTACCTCTTATTACACGTCGCGCATTCTAATTCCTTCTTACAATTCTTTGATGTAGCGTCACGCTTACGGCGGTAATAATGTCCGTCTAATTTGGCGTCGTAATCGACATTGTCGTTATCGTCGTCATAATCCTCCAGACCATCCTCCGTTTTAATCTTGTCAATGATCTTCTGAGCCGCTTTTGCGGCCACGCGCTTTATACGCTTGTTTGGATCATATTCTTGCCCATGTATAAACGTCTTGTGATTCGTGGCGACTAGATGATTTCTCAGAGTGAGCTCGTTGCCGAAAGTTTTGTTGCATTGAGTACATTTGTAAGTTTTTATTCGCGCGTGCTGTTCAGCGTGTCTGCGCAGAAGGTCCTTCCGCGTAAACTGTTGACGACATATCTTGCAATCATAGCTTCCAGCTCCAGAATGTGCCGTCTCCATGTGTTTTGATAGCAACTTCTTACGCGAGAATGTCGTTGGACACTTTTGACACTTGAATTCCTTCGCTTGTTCGACGGATTCGCCGTCATTATCGTCTTCCTCTTCCTCCTCGTTTTTATTGTCTTCGTCATCGTAGTTATCGCTCTTAGCCATCATCTGCTTCATGTCTTCTTCTAAATCCTGCTCTGTAAGTACGCCTTCAACTACATGCTTCGTTCGATGATTTCTCAATTGCACCAGAGTATCGTACTCGTCGTGACATACGTTGCACTTGAAGTTAACATGTGTGAGCGAATGCTTTTGCAAACTTCGTTTCGTATCAAATTTTTCCGGACATTTGTCGCATGCGAATTCTTCAACGCGATTCCGCTTTCTTCTTTTATCTTGATCGTTGTCGCTGACATCGTCGTTTCCGTCAGCTGTACTTCCTCTCCTCGTTCGTTTTCTACATTCTCTGTCCGAATTGTTACCATCAAAGTCTAGACTGTGCTCATCTTCGTGGAATGAAATTTCGAGCGGCATAGGGTCTTCTTTCGCCTCCTCTCGTTCACGTTCGTGCTGTTTAATGTGCTTAGTAAACGAGATTATATACAGATACTCTTTACCGCAATAAGGGCACTTGTTGGCTTTTTTTCCAGATGGTGGAGTCTTCGTAGTGGAGATGTTGGTCTGTACTTTTTGCGGCTTCTCCGGCGTTTTCTTTAGGGAGAGTGCTTTCCTTACTTCTTCATGAGAATGCATGTGCTCCTTCAGAACATTCTTTGACAAGAACTGTTTGTCACACAAATAACACATGAAGAAAATCTTCTCCGTTTTATCCGCTTGTGCTTTTTTCAATCGAGAACTGAGATTCAGATTCTCAAAATAATTCTCTTCATCGGAATCCCGTTCAGCAAATGTCCGACGAGCTAATCTACGTTTACTTCTTCTGGTTTCGTTTTGAGGTGAATCTTGTCCTATCGCCGGCTCATTATCAGTGGTAGATATTTCTTCATTAAAAGATTTATTCTCCTCATTTTGATTTTGTTCAAATTGATTCTCTTGAATTTGTTCTGCTTGAGTCTCTTGAATTTGCTCCACTTGACTCTCTTGAATTTGATTTGCTTGATTCTCTTGAATCTGTTCAACATGGTTTTCTTGAATTTGTTCAGCTTGATTCTCTTCAATTTGTTCAATTCGATTCTCTTGAATATGTTCAACTTGATTATTATGAATTTGTTGAGTGTTATTCTCTTGATTTAATTCAGATAATGTTTCTTGACATTCCGCTATACTTTGTTCAACTTGTGTATCCACTTGTATTCTTTCCTGCAAAGGAAATTGGTCAGTGGGGAACACACACTGTTGCTGCATAATATAATCATGTTCCTCTGTTGGAATCGCCTCCATATAACTCGAAGTGATATTTTCGTTCATACAAAGTTTTTGATTCCTAGATTCTTTGATAGTACTTGACATATCATTATCTTCTGTATCAAGTAATTCTTGCTGAGACTCTTCTGCAATGCTTTGACTAATTTCTTGTGTAATCTCCTCTGAATTATCTTCTGGATCTAAACAAATTCAATGTATTAGAGAAGAAAACTTGAAAAATTTTAAATTATTCTTATTATTAAAACAATATTCTTTTTATATCTTTGAATATCTTTTTGGAATATCATTGATTGATTATTAAATATTTTACTCACCTTGTTGCATTTCTTCTGTATTTGTCAACTTCTCATGTTCTAAGATCATTAATTGCTCTTTTAAAAAGTTCTTATCAACGTCTGATTCTTCTGATAGAACTGTGACAGTAGATTCATAATTGGCATCCATCTCCTCTAAATCCTCATTTCTTTCATCATCTAAGTGTATCTCGACCTCGTTAAGAAATAATTCTTCCTTTATTATTCCTCCGACAAACCTATCTCTAAGGACACTGTCAGCTTGCTCCACTTGTAACTTAAATTCATATGCCGACTCTAGTTTGTCGGCACACATGTAGCATACCTGTGCCGGTAGGCCGTCACCTGGTAACATCTAATTGAAATACATGGTTTAGTATACAAATAACTGATAAAAAATAACCATTTGCTAGGACTCTAGAAAAAATGTAACACATATGGGAAGTCTAATTATTTTATTTAACTTAAGCTTATGTCAACATGTCTTTGCCTAAGCTTTCTTCACAGCTCTTAATCTTTTGGGATAGAATTTTAAAAAATTCTGAAACAAATTAGTCGAATTCCATATCTTTTAACATTTCTAAGAAGTATGCGAACAAAATTGAAAAGAGAATATCTAATGCAATCTGTTTCTTGAAGCATGAGAATATCTCGAGTGTATCCTTCAGAATTGAATCAAAATGTTCTCTCATTCAAGTCAAGAAGTGTTAGATAAAAAATTCAACACTAATTTTCTTCAAGATTCTATCACAAAAGATTAAAAAAAGAGATTGGGAGAGAATATACTGATTACCTACGCACAAGCTTGTGTTAAGTAAAGTTTTGGACTTTCTACACATGTTGCATTTTTCTCTAAATCCTTCGCAAATGATTACTTTTCAAACAAACTTTAAAATAAGATCTATTATCCATTATTACTAGACATTCCTCGTTACACGTGAAAAAAAATCAAATTACAGTCTCACAATTACAAGTATATACTGGGTGTAAAGAGTCATATTTTCTCAACAAGATACGACTTGTACTCGAGAGGAAATAGCAAGAAACTCGATTTTTAGCCGATCAGGAATCGGTAGGAGATCGTAGGAAGAAATAAAAGGAAACGATAATATAATAATGAGCAATCGCTAAATTTGCGTCGGTATCTAACCTCCAAGCTATATGTCTAACCTTAACGTTGGTGAAGCTCATCGCTTTCATCGAGAGGGACGCGACCTCGCTCTCGAGGAAGAGGTCGCGCATCATCGGGTTGTCGAGCAGGCACACGCGGCATATCTTCACCGCGGACGCGATCGCGTCCTCACTTTGCGGCGGACCCGACGTATTTATTTCTACGGCGTCCATGTTTTGTTTGGTGGACTGACTTGGAACAACTTGCGAATTGGATTGCCTGGCTCTCGTTCTCTCCTTCTCTCTCGCTCCCTCCCTTTCTCTCTATCGCTCTAGTCCGTTCACCTTCTCTCACCTGCCACTAACTTATTTACCGCATGAAACTATTTGCGAATTTTCTCTGTATATTTCCCGAGGATTCTTTTTATTTGACCTCTTCACACACTCGTCCTTCCATGCGAATTTTATTGAACATATTTATGCAGGGAGGAAATTGAGAAATTGTTGAATATACATAAAAAAATGTTTCCAATATTCCAATTATCTTATATATTTTTTTAATTATTTTTTTTGGAATAAAACAAGTATGTGTTTTTAACATTTTCTTATTGAAAAAATGAGAATTTTGGGAGAGCAATTGAAAATTGTAGCTAGAAAGAAAAGATGAAATAATTCGAAAATCTAGCATGAAACTTCCAATATAGTTTCTGTTCTATTTTATAAGTTTAATTGTTTCACAGAGAGTGATTTGAAAAGGTATAATTCTCATTTTATTAAGTAAACTTTTAATTTATATATTTAATAATTGATTTTTATTAAATTATATTTATTATAATGTTAAAACTGATTTATATATAATTATTTAATTAAAATAATCATTCATATCATTATATAGATATTAATTTAAAGTTTAATGAAAAAATTTAACAATAATTTAAGAAGTTTAACAATAAGACTTATTTGAGTTGTTTTATTGTACTTTTGACTGATTAGAATATCTGATGTCAAGATAATGTCTTTTAAATTGAGCAAGAAATTGATAAAATTTAAAAGAAAATATAGAATATTGAATAAATATTTTTATCTTTTATTCTTCCACATATAAACACAAATTAAATTTTTATAAAATTCAATATTTGTACAATTTAAATTTAAATCTTGTTAGATTTAATTATCATATATTAGAATATAAAATTGATATAATGTTTATGTTCTTTATACTATTTTTACTTACACGTTAATAGAAATTATATATCATAATTGCAATCTTAAATGCTCTTTATAATTAATAAAAATTACAGTACTAATGTTTAATGTTCCATAAAAAAGTAGCAATCTTCCCTTTATATTTCATGTTTTTCTAATGTCGGTGTTTGAATCTTACTATTGGAAAGTTGAACACTATTAAGCTTTTGACATGTCTCCATGACCAAAGATGCATCACCGCCACCAGATATAGCACAATCACCCACCTTCTCTGTTGCAGATTTATTTGCACAATTTTTCATTTCTCGTTTAGTAGGTCCAGATAACTTTTTTGCGATTGCATTAGGTACAATTTCTTTATTTGCACCTTCAGAAGATACATTCTGTTCTTTTAAGGATTTGCAAGATGGAAATGTTGCATATTCCGATGAAGATAAACTAATTTTCTCTAAGACAGCTGAAAAAATAATTTCTACTGTAATCATAATTTCTATCTGTAAATGACTCCTTCAAATACACAGTACCTGTTAAATCCATACTATCTTCAGATATATCAATGTTAATATTGACTTTAAAATTATCTCTACTAAAAAGATGTTGTCTAATACTAGAAAGATTCCTAAAGGATATGTCGTTTTTAACAACTGACTCTGTTGCATTTTTATTTTTATGTGGTGTGTTATACATGATGGAATGCTCGTTGCGCAAAGTGCGACCGCTTTTTATGTAGGGTATCAAGCATGATAAATCTGATGGCTTTTGCATTACGCTATTTGCCGATTGAATGGACACTTGCGATTTATATGCTTTTACTAAAACGTAAATAAGACTTTATATTAATTGAAAAAAACATATGCAGAAGATATATGAAATATTTCTAAGCTTTTCACACGAACCTGTGTAGGGTGTTCTGATGTAAACCATACTATTTTCATCGCGCGGTAAACCATAAATTGTGAGTGGAAAATTAATAGTATTTGAAACTACACCTGCAAAATATAAAGAATTTAATATTTAATGTGACATTTATTAGCAAAGCGTTTATATTCTATACAAAGCTTAAACAGAATTATTTATCATACCATGGCTGGAATCTGCTTGGGTTCTTACAGATTTTTCATGTATTATACTGTTCATGATCATGGATAGAGCAGGTTGCAATCTTTGAACAACATTCAATATTAATTCACACCGTTTTATCACCCGCAATTGCTGAGGCTCTGTCGCATTTTCAATCAGAAGAGTCTTGGCAGCTTTATTGGCTTCAAATATAGCTATAGTAATAAATACATGTATGATATATCTTGATGTGATCTTGATGACAAACTATCAAACAGTTCAAAGAATAATAAAGTATATCATAATTACCAGCTTTTAATTCTCTTGTCATCATTATTGTGTGACGATCGATGTTTTCAGTACCAATGTCATTTATAACTGTTGTCACTTGGCTAGATAAAGCCGAAGCACATTGAACAATGCCTTGCACTTGAAGTTGTGTTACTGGTTGTCTATTATCTAAACAATTCGAGATTGCCGTTATACGTTCTTGAAGATTGTCCATAACTATCTAAAAAAAGATATATTCAAGTAAAATCTCTAAAAATAGAATTCTTTATAATGTATTCAATACTTACTTCACAGAAGGCAGCTGAATTTATAATGAAGTTTACAGCAGTTTGAAACTTGTTCATCTCTCGTTGCCACTGTGTAGTCAATAATTTGACACTAGAACGCATTTCTTTATTATCTGGATGTAAGTAGAAGGAAGTTATGGCAGAAATTAATTCTGTTTCCAAGGATTCAAATCCGGCGAGACAATTGCGAATTTTATTATTACCTGGGAATAGACAAATTTGTATCAGATAATTTTAATAATTTGAAAAGATTTTATTAATATTTTTTGCTTGGTAAAGAAAAATGACTAACGATTTACGTCCTTGCAACAAGCAATAGCAAATATTCCAATTTGCATAGTTTGATCAAAAAGCTGATCAAAGTCTTCTATAAGATTTTTTAAATCATTCTTGGATCTTGTTTTCGCGCTTAACGAATTTCCACACGTCATAACGAGCTTTTTCAAAGCTGCATAAGGGTTACTAAACACCTCCAATGCGAGCGTTAATACTGCTATATTGACTTTACGTTCTAAACGATAAAGAGCATCGGTCAAAGTGTGCATAAACAAATTATTTAATGCTGAATCTGGTGTTTCTGATAGTAATTGCTGCTTTAATTTTTCATATTCCATTACTATAGACTGACATGTTCCCGTTATGGCTTTAAAATTGTACAACTGACACACTTGAGTAATTGCCATAGCATGAGAAAAAACATCTTCCAATCTCAACCATAGTTCTGTGCATTCGGATAATTGCTCCTGATGTGTTTTGTTTGACATTTCTAATATAATGTCTAATGCTAAATCCATTCTACAAAATGTACCATAATATCAAAACTAGTTAAATGATTACAAAGTATAAAAATTACAGAGTATTAAAAATATTTTTTCTACCTATAGACAAAATGATTCTCCTTTTTGAAAGCTTCCTCTTCTAGTGATGGGTTTGAATCATTCAGTAAGTTTAAGATCATTTCACAACAAGTACATATTCTTCCACAAATATACTTTTTGCAAGCCTGCATATACAATGTATATATAGATTAAATAATTTAAATGCAATTTAACAAAATTTAAATACAATTTAAATAAAAAAACATATATACATTAAAGAAATAAAGATTAAATATATAATTTATTACATAAATTGGTGCATTTAATCGATGCTGCTCCTGAGCCAATTGTACTAGCATCTCAAATGATGTGCACAGTTGAGAAGAATAAAGAGTCAACTTTTCTGACAAGAAAGCAGATACTAAACTTCTTCTGTATTTTTGTAATGGTTCCAATACCTCTAATATTGAAGTACCAAGTTCCTTTAAAAAAGCAAATTTTTGATATTAAAAATATTAATGTTAAATATTAATATTAAAAGATATAATTTAATTAAAATTTGTTTTATTAATTGTTACTTTTATATTTTGAAGATCCTCAATCTCATTTGCTGTACTCATTTCTAGAACATAATCCAGACAATCTTGAAGCCTCTGCTTCAATGGCAAACATTCTAAATCTTCTAATGTTCGTAAAACTAATGTAATATTATTGAGTAATAAATCTGTTGTATGTTTATCAATATCATTGCTTTGAATATTTTTAATCTAGAAAACACAATAGTTTAACTTTAAATTTTAATAAAAATAAATAATATATTATAAAATATTAAGAGCTTTTTGCTACTTACAATCTCATCAATATCCTTTAATGCAGAAGTGTGTTTTGAATTTGTCACTGTATCAATAAGCTTCACATTTGCTTCTTCATGATCACAATTATCGTTACTTGCTAAATTCTTAAATCTCTGAATTAAAGAATCCAATTGTTCAACGAGTGTTGATTTTGTAACCACAATTTCTGATGAATTAACAGAAACATTGATTAGCAACGAATGCAGCTTGCTTATCTAAAAGAAATAAAATAATTTTAGCTTCCATTCTTATATAATAATCGATGCATTAATATTATAATTTTTATAAATTTTAAATTTGATAATGTAAATCTGAAAAATTCAATTTTTTTTCTATGTAAATAAAATATTGTCTTAATAAATATATTAATTATTAAATATGTAAATAGAAATATTAGCTTAATCACCTGCTGTTGTATATATTCCAGTAGCTTTTTCATTTCCTTGGTCTTTAGATCCATTATTATACTTTATATCTAAAATTCTCTCTTTTTTTCTCTCTTACAGCTCTTTATGAAACTTCAAAATTCATATATTTCAACGGTGAATGTAAATAATCCGAATTTAGTAACTAACTAGGCATGGCAACCAACATCAGAGAAAGAGAGTGAAGTAGGTTCGATCCAACCCAACCTTTCCTTTATCGTACCCCAACCTATTTCAAAAAAGAAAAAAAGCGCCGCGTGCTGTGTTGATAACTTTTTTTTTTGCGGGAGGACAAGCATTTTTAAAGCAAATATCTATAGAAATTCTATTCTGAATTCTTGCCAAAAATGTTTTCCAGGCATAAGAAAGGCGAAATGGAGATCGATATAATGTTAGACGAGCCGCTGACTAATGATTCGTGCACAAAAGTGGTGATCGAACTCGTGAAATATATTCTATATCAAAAGCAACAAATACCATTCGCGTATGAAGCGTTAGCGAGATTTCAGACGAGCGTGAAGGCGACAGATAGAAACGCGGTCTCCTTTAAAACCTTGTCAAGTATGCTGAAGGATGTTTCAGATCAATTATTCTCGCAATTCTTTCTCAAGGGTTGCGATGTAAAAGAAGTCGCTATACTACTCGGACCTACGATACTATCACCAAAGCTCTGTATTGCGATAGAGTTTCCCTCATATATTCTCAACAGCAAGCAGCATAAGGAATATCAGCACTCTTCAAGAAAACCACTCTTAAAACTCATGAGGTCAATAGCAATAAAAGAATGCTTGTATAAAAAAAATTGCAATACGATTAACATTAATTTTTATTTATACACAGGTCTCTGTTGGAGTGTGATGAGTTTCAAGAAGCCATGAATATACCTTTAAGCATGACAAACATGTTCATCATGTTAAAGAAAAATGATGGCAATTCAGCATCGGATTTTTTCTTGCCTAAACCACAATATATCCTGCCAACGCAGCAAAGCACAAGTTGCTTCAGAATCAAGCTGGGCCAGAGTGATCAAGTGAATATAGAGTGTAATTGTGAATCTCTTGTTGCAGTATATCATGACTCATTCAAGATACAGCTGGAAGACGAAGACAATGTGCAATATAGACAATACAATAGTTCTAATCAATCTTTATATCAATGGTATCAGTCGAAACAAATTATAAAGGGATTTAAATTCCATACATGACCATAACTTTATGAATAATAATTATAGCAGAATTTCAAATTTTTTTAGAGCATGTTAGGTAATTTTTCATTTTAGGATATTATATAGCTGTTTGTATCATAAATGATTTGATTGAAAGTCAACAGTATTAAACATATTTCAATGAATTTATATAGTTTTGAATTTTATATAGTTAAAATTTTTTATACTATATATGCAATGACATTGCAATGACGTGAATATGACTCGACAATACTTTGAGGTCATGATAGAAGAAATTTCCATTTGCTATCAGAAAGAACCAATATGATATTTTTACTCATATCAACAAAACAAGATAAGTCTTATTGCATGTAAAGGTTACGTAATCAAGAAATTGGACCACAAAAAATTATACATAATAATTAAACATTTTATTGATCAATATACATATAGGATAGATAAGATAAGAATTATGTTATTGATGATTTATAAGAAAAATGAAGTTTTATATAATCACTTTGATATTTTATATATACATAAATATAATGTAAATATTTTTATCTTGAGATGTTATATTATTATTATTTGTTTACCAAATTATTATGCTAATCTAAGAGATATTACTTAATCATGCAAGTTCACAACAAGATTATAAAATGTTAGTCACATGAAATCAACATATGAATTTGCATATTTTCTCATGTAATTGATAATCTCTACTGAAGAATTATTCCTAGGGAGTGGGGTAATGCATATTTTAACATTTGGTGCGAGATGCAATATTCAGTCTTGATGTTGAAGGAGAGATTATTAAATCTTGTCTAAAGAGTGCTAAAATTTCATATCTGACACTATGGCTAGTTTGAAATTTTTAACACCGGAAGAAAAACAATTTTGGCAAGAAAATGGTTATATAAAGTTGACAAATGTATTTTCCGTAAAGGAAATGAATGAGATATCGGATGCCTATAATGAATTGTTCGAGAGAAAACATCGTGAAAATCTAGCGGGCTTGGAATCTAGTTGGATTGGAGATGACATGAAGAAAATAGCTGGATACATCGATTATACTGTAAGAGAGAATAATATATATATTTTTTTGTATTCTGTAAAATGAATATGTATGAAATGTATGTATAAATTATTAAAATTATTTTTCTGTATATTTGCTAGGTAAAATCTATTCACGCTCTACAAATGCATAGTGCCGTTTTCACTCGAGTAATTACGCATCCAAATTTATTAGACGCCCTTGAAGATATCATGGATACCGAGGATATCGTGCTACATCATACCAAGGCACACGTGAAACCGCCGGAGAAAGGAGCACCTTACTTGATGCACCAAGATTATCACTACTTTCCTCACAAGAAGCACACTATGCTAGCCGTGTTTCTACACTTGGATGATACGACACCGGAGAACGGTGGTTTGGCGGTATATCCAGGCAGTCACAAATTGGGACCGTTGAAGGATTATGGAGTGACCGATGAAAAGACCGGTGACTCATATCATTATGTCAATCCCGAGAAGTATCCCTTGTCGAAAGCTGAGCCCGTATTGGCAAAGAAGGGCGAAATCATCGTCTTTTCTTACTTGCTGCTTCACGGTTCGTACTTGAATCTGTCCGATAGAAGTCGACGTATGTTCCTTATACAAGTGAGAGCCGCCGATGACGAACCGACCGAGGATGTACATAAATCTCCTTGTCAAGGCCTGGTGCTTCGCGGTAACAATATTTATCGAGAAGCAACGATGGCCAATAGATTTACAACTATGGACAAGCATTAATCTGATATGTATGAAGTACGAGCTAAACGAATATATCCTTTCTACTTTTAAAAGATGAGTAAACTGTTTGTGTATGTATTAAAATATAAAGAATATAAAATCGTAAAATATCATTGTTTCTTGTATAAACGATACTTTGCGATGATTCTTACTACGATGATGAATACTACTAAGCTATTCTTTCTATTTTTTTGTTTTTAAAAATTATCATAAATTGAGATTTTTAGAGATGCGAAGTCATTGAGATTTGTTTATAAAACGCACGAAAAATATTGTATATCCCATGTTATCATCCATGATATAGCCTTGGAATAGCCTTGGAGGTCTCTCTTTCAATAATCATATCTGATTAACTATTTTAATATGTCTCTCTAATGCATCAAAGATGTTACATAACATATTCTCTTTGAAATAATTCCATTTAATATAATTAGAAAAATAAAAATATATATAATAATATAAATAATAATATAAAAAAATATATAACAAATTGATTAACTATTTTAAATAATAATATAAAAATATATATATAACAAAAAATTTATATAATTTGCTACATTTTGCAAACTAAAAGGAATACTGCAAGACAATAATTAAAAAGTAATAGGAATAAGATTTTTTATGGAGTTCTAAAATTGTACAAAAGTATCAATCTTGATTTTAATTTATATCTAATGTTACAAATCTCTAAATGATATTTATAGAGACAACCATTATTATTTATATTTACAGAAATTCTAATGTAGAAATATTTATGATATATAAAACGTATAAAATAGCGCAACTCTATTTGTGAATGATATGTTTAAAAAATAGGCGAGCAGATCTTTTCATAGAAACAATATTACACTCGACCAGTTTGGAATACTTTTCCAAAAGAGATTCATTTTACATTTCAAACAAAATACAACGAAAGAAGGTTCTAAAATAAAGATACAAACGTAATATAAATGAGCGACGAAAGCTAGCGCGGTAAAAAAAGCGCAATATATTATAATTAAAAGAGAATTTTATCGAACATTTCCATCTCAAATTTGGATCATCTTTGGCAAAATAAAAAAAGTCTAATCTCCAAAGTTATGCGTTTTGAAGTTAAAAGAACGGCAGGATCCTGTCCAGGATTTCATTCGTACGATTGACAGTGTGCGAAGGAGAGACCCAGGCCGCATCGAGATACGAATCTCGCGCGAGTTTTCATCTCGCGTCGAGAAGCGGGAATGCGATTGTACGGAACACGCGGAACGAGAGATTCGCGATTTGACATAAATTGAGATCCGATAAAATCCGGACGCTCCCACGTCCATTTGTCAAAAACCCAAAAGAAGAGCGACACGGTCGTCCCGCGGAATTCGGGGGAGAGAAACGAGAGGTATGAACGAGGCTGATCGACTCGTCGGGGCAATCTCCCACGGGAATGAGAGTCGAGAGTCGTAAATCACGGTCGAGTCGAACCGAGCGCGCGAGCGGAGGGACGCGGGGAACGCGCGGAATGCGAACCGCCACCGCCAGTGTTGTCGACACCGTGAAGGGTCGACACCGTCGACTCAAGGAGGCGATCGCGAGTTTCCTTGCTTTTTTTTCCAGACGGCACGGGGGCGAGACGATCACGCGGAAGCACGGACGCGCGTTCCACGGCGTGCTCGCTGGATATCACCCTGGCCCCCTGACCCCGAGTGCCGGCGAACGGACGCGCGGACCGCTCGCGGTGAACGAGTGAAACACATGGGTCGCGCGACTGAGTGATACCCTCCACCACTACTGACTACGGACTGTTGCTGTTACTACTGTTGCTGCTGGTGCTGTCGCCCGTCCTCGTATCGTCGTGTTCGCCGCGTCAAAGTCCTCGCCAGGAACCTCGCCAGAGACGCGCGACGACGCTCGACGCGGACGATGCGAGCGAAATAGCGAGCAGAGGCGGAAGGCAGTGTGTGCGTGGGTGGGTGGGTGTCTGCCACATTCATGCACCACCGGATTTCTTGGAGCGCGAACTGTTGCGATCCAACTGCCCGCTGTCGCCGATAGCTGTCCGATAGTATCATCCGCTCGCTCTTCAACGATCCACCATACGTTGATTGTCGCTGCACATTGTATTTTTTCAGAGTACAAAAAATTATATATATATGTCGCCCCTCTGTCCGGAGCGCTCGTGCGACCCCGATGATGACACCGTGATCGAGCCAGCAACGCTAGGAGAATGATCGCGAGGTTCTTCAAAGCTTTGCCAGAGAGTACATATAAGGCACGGTTTATGGTTGAGTAATAAAAATTGTGTATTTGTCAGCCACCATCATTCGCTGTGAACCCACGCAACTGTGTCTTGTATTTATTTCTGATGTCTTGCCTAAATGATATGAATATCAATTGCTTGTCAATGATACGTGTGCCTCGGACTTTATAAATCATAAATCTCTTTCTCTTGTTGGAAGAGAGGAGAAGGAAACTTGGAACATGAGAATACTTTTCATCGAATCTGAGTATTGCCATATTTTAAGCACATGGATTTAATCTTCTGAGCAAAAGACAACAGGAGATCTGCAAGTCCTGTTAGGTCGAACGCTGAAAAGTTAAAGTATGAGAAGCCCAGTGGAGGAAAATGGATACCGGTAAAGTATCAGCATGCGTGAAAAGTCAGCAGAATGTCATGCTCACGCAGCTCACGTGAGGGGCACGACAGAGATGTGCTCGCGTGATCCGTCTACATTGCACCCGACCCTTGCCAAGGCAAATGGTAAAAATTCAAGTCCCCAGCCAGCTCATCACACGGAAGCACGTATCGATAATAACTTGCCACCGACTCCAGGAGGCCGCTTGAAATTCTTTAAAGATGGAAAATTTATCTTGGAGCTGTCTCATCGCAGGGATGGAGAGAAGACTACATGGTTTCCTGTGCCAAAGAAGACTTTTTGGCCACCTGCTAGCACTATTCCAAATCGGCAGGAGAGCTCTACTTCCCTTAGTGGTGAGTCTTGAAGCAAATGATGATAATTATTATACATAATTTTTTTATACATATGTTATTTTCTTTGTATATTTATTATATCTTTTCAAAAATTGAAGAAAAAAAATAGATTTTATTATAATTATTGTTTTTCTCATAATAAAGAAAGTTTTTTTTATTTCAATTTTGACTATTATATAAAAATAAATAATTAATTTAAATAGCACATAACTTCTGCACATTATATTCGTTTTCAGTTTCCGATGATAATTCGTCGATCCAGTCGAGTCCTTGGCAGAGAGATCACTGCTGGAAACAGACTCATCCCCGACGCAGGATAACAACGGAATTTAATTTTTACTATCGCCGAAATCCGAAGACTCGCCTATGCGCGCATCCTCGTTTAATAGCAAAGAAACGCAGACGTCCATTAGATCCTACAACTGCAATTCTCGTTCCGGAATCAATGACGGCTTATCCGACGAAAGTATCTCGGAAATTGATGAACGGCACATCATCATTGGGCACGTCGTCATCGAGCACGTCATTATCGGGCATGTCATCATCGAGCACGTCATCATCGGGCAAGGTTCTGGGTGTGATCATCGATAAACTGTCACGTCTGCTGGATCCTAATGTTGTATCGCCTCGCAAACGAATACTTCGAGAGTTGGAGAGAGTCTCGCTAGAGGATCAGGCATCCAAGAGACGAGCTACTCCGCAACCAGTTTGCACGACAAGTGCGCCGCCGACTCCCTCCGCGAAACAGTTGTCATCGTATAGTATAACGAGTATCCTGGGAGAGGACAAACCGAGTTCCGAACCAGGCTTCTTGAGAACATTGCTGAAGCCAGATAACCGGCAGCCTGTAAAATACTCATCGACCAACACTTATCCGAGGGTACGAATCGATCCTTACATTGGGTCTAGCAATACATCCGTTCATCATTCGCTCTATGGATTACCGATGTTGCCTCCTGGACCATATAGAGCGGCGCCTCTATGGATGGCACCCCATTATCCGTCTCCCGTCCACTATCCGCCTCCTATGCAATTGTATGCACCGCCACATCCTCATCCATCATCCCCACATTATAAAGACTACAGGGAACAAACTCTCACACCTCCTTCAGGTATGTTTTTTTCAATATCATTCGAATGTTATTAAATATTAGAAATTGAATAGGATAAAATATAATCACGAGTTATCTCTGTCATCTACAGATATGCCTCTGAATCTGTCGAAGCATGCGGGTTGAATCTCAGGATCCCAATAGAGTTGGTGCCTTATCGATGGATGAAACACTATGCAAACACTGCCCGTGCAACGACAATGCGATATATTAGTATTTTTTTATTCATAAAACAATAGTATCTTCTTAGTAAGTAGAAGTATGACGAGAAGCCAGATAGTTGGATTCTGGGAGAGCTACTTGTATATACAAATGCATAAATTGTCGATGGCGGCATAGTTATTTTATATTAATATTGCAAGATTTTAAAAAAGAGCAAATTATGAGTGGTATAATAAACAAAAAGACATTATGGGAAAAATGCCACTCTACTATGTGTGTGTATATGTTACACATATTTTTACCATACGCGACTTGTGAATGAAGAAAGAAAAAAAAAAGAAAAAAAGATTAAAGGAATCGACGCGCGAATTTTTATTATTTAAAACAATCGTAAATCTATATATTATCAATATGAAAATGTATTAGCGAACGAATGTGCTAGTGATATTGTATTCGTATATTTTAATAATTCTTTTGTTTTTCGACGTTACTACTCATTTTATTTTATACATTGCGACAAAGAAGGATGTGCACATATAAACCTGTGCACGCGCACATCTGTGCATCTCATTTATGCATTTTCCCGTTATTCTTATAATGTTACTGTCATTATATTACCATTAATAAAAATGGTATATTATCTATATTATGTAAAAGAATCGATAAGAAAGACATAGGATTATGTACAGAACAGATTATTATATTGCCTATATATCTAGCATATTAATTATTCTTAAAAATAGAAACGCATAATAAAAATTTAGGCTCTAATAGAATATCCACACAACAGTATACAGTTATTTATATGATAATGCGGAGAGAGTACACAAAATTACTTTAGTAAAGACCGTGGGGTTGTGCCTTACAAATAATTATCCAAATTCCATGAAATTAAATTATAAATATTCTTACAAATGTATGTAAAAAAGGCACTATTACATGTATATAATAAATATATCTTTATGTTATGTATACAAGTATAAATACATACATATGTATGTGTGTGTATGTATATATATATATATATATATATATATATATATATATATATATATACATATGTATGTATATGTTTGCATCGAATTGATGTTTATTTTATTTTTTACTCTATTTATTATTAGTCAGGCGCCCATGAGGCATTTATTTTAAAACAAGGCAAGCTCGCACAGGTTCTACAAATGAGTAATTTTAATTATTCGACTTTTACGCATTCTTTAGCAATTCAAACGAATTGGAAAAGTATGTGATTGCGTATTAGAGCAATTGTATAGAAAGAGAGACTAATTTCGTATAAATATAAATATTTCATATACTATTTATTATTACTCTTACTATGTTATTTCATTTACCATCAGCTCTCTGTATTCTCTTAAGAATCTCTGGAGAATCTCTCTCTGTTAGCGGTAATTTTACACATTTATCTGCATACATACGAAATCATTTTCTTGTAATATTAAATAAATCTATCTTTCCAATTATTTATTTATTACAGCAATTATCGCAATAATTACTCGAAAATCATAACAACTAACTCAATTATTATACATCATTTAGTTTATATATTTTGTATATCTATAGTAAGATAAAATCAAAAGTGGGCTTGATACATAATATTAAAATTTGCCGCTTTTAATTTGAAGTGCAGAATAGAAGGCTAATACACAAACGTGGAATATTATTGCTAGACGAATATTTTATTATTTTATCGTTATTCAGCAAACGATAATACATATAAATATGTATTTAAAAATACACATTTTAGATACGAATAAAATATAAAAATATAATTTTGAAATATTTTTATATAATCTATACAGTTGTAATTAATTTAGGAAACATCGAATCGAGAATGGTTTCTGATTGGTTACTTGACAGCAGCAAGTGTTATGAAAAATATTACATTCGTGTAATTTTTTTTAATAATCTATTAGCGCGCATGCGTCTTATCATGGATTGAGAAAAAAATGTAGAGAGTAAACATACGACAGTGTGGATAATCGATATCATTTAAATGAGATAAAAATCGTTAAAAACTAAGCTCTATAATAAAAGTCACGATAACGGTGATTATATCGGAATCTTACAGACAGAGAGACAGAAGAAACATCTATCTCGCGCTATCTCTGATCTGGTTATTTACGTAAAGACTAATATATTTGACATATTAATAAATAAGATATTTATAAAAGTATATTATTAGAATATATCAGAAAAGAATAAATATAAGTAAATATATATATATATATATATTTTTTTTTTACTTATATTTATTCTTTACTTATATTTATTCTCTATATACATTAAAGAATAAATATGATAAGATAAAGATATACAATAAAGAATAAATAGAAGATTACAAATTGGATGCTAATAAAGAATTTTTAAAGCATTATATAGAAATTATATAGACAGAAACAAAGAATCCTCATGATATTATTATTATTTAAACGTTTAACGAAAAAAGCTGTTTCAAATCGCTGACGTTTACGATGAGACAACTGTCAAAGTTCAAATACAAGCGGGAAGAATGACGAACCAATGAGAACCGGCCGTTTCGCGTTCGCGATTCTCATTGGAGTTCCTCGTCTAGACAGTGCTCGACCGATGCTCCTGTTTTGCGCGATCCTCGGCAGATCCGGTAGTAGCGCTCGTGCCGCGCGTTTTACGCCGCGTATACGTATGTACTCTTCTCCTCCGCTCTCTCCTCGTCGAAGTCTGAGTGCGTTGGCTTCTCGCGAGTCGCACAGGAGTCGCGCGAGCGGGAAGAGAGGCGATCGCGATCGCTCTCGGGACGCGGTGGAACGTAACGTAACCGACAAACGCGGCAAACCGGACCGTCCGAGCGCGAGTGCGCGAGGAGTGGAGCGAGTGATCGGAGTCGAGTTCTCTCGAGTCGGGAAATCGGCGGCGAGGGACGACGTGTCCGTCCCGTCCGGCCGCTCTCTCGGTGGTGCGCTCTTAGCGGCTCGCCGAAACGAAAATGGCGGGCCGTGTCGGAGGCAGCGGTCAGAGCCGCCGACGGTGTTAATCGGTGCCCCGTTAACGGACACGTGTGGTGGCGATCTTCCAATTGCTACCTGTACGTGCTGTACGGTTTGGGATTCCTTTTTTTTTCTCCCCTCACTTCCGGTGCGCGCGCGCGCTGCGCGCCGCTCATTGTTGCCGAGCACCGATCATAAATCAGACTGCGAACGCGGAGAAAACGGTATACCTGAGGAGTACATTGTAACTAACAGTCGCGAGCGTAAACTCGTTCGTAGTAGTGCGTATATATTGCGTTCGAAGGAGAGACACATCGGAGCGAGACCGTGCGAATCTGCTGTGGGAGGGAGGAAGAGGGAAGAGAGAGAGAGAGAGAAACAGAAATAGAGAAGGACAGAGACACGGGGCAAATAGAAAGAGCGAAAACCCCGAGGGGTACAGCACAGTTGGACAGAGGACGCAGAAGCGGCGAGATACGGAACGGAGTGAAAGTTTAAATCGACAATATGGACAAACACGATGGAGTGATTACACTGTGAGGTGTTGACTGTCCGAGATAGCGAGCGACGTGCGGGACTATATTGAGAGAAGGAGATAGAGAGATAGAGCAGAGAAAGAGAGAGAGTGAGAGAACGAACGAGAGAGAGAGATAGAGATAGAGACAGAGTGCCGCCGATCGGCGGCGGCGGCGGATCGTGAGATTGTAACACGTTGCGGAGGACGAGAAGCCTTGATGCCGATGCCGGCCGAATACCACGAGGGCCACGGTAACCACGAGAACGCCAATTTCGCTCTCGGGTCCACGCAGGACGCCAGCAACATGACGGCCAACATGTACCGGGTGGGAGGTAAAGTAAAACCGCATTGCATTCCGCTTTGCCGAACGACGCTTCCCCGCGAGTAGTCCGAGAGAGAGAGAGAGAGAGAGAGAGAAAACGAGAGAGAGAGAGGGAGGGAGGGAGGGACAGAGAGAGAGAGAGATAGCGGCGGTTTAATTAACTCCGAGAAATTAATGTTTGCAAATGGCATCGCAATGGCGTCCCCTATACCCTCCGCGCGGCGCGTTCTTCCCCCTCTTTTTGGTTCCACCGCTCTCTCTCTCTCTTTCTCTCTCCCCCTGCGTTCCCCCCTGCGCGCTCCCTCTCTTCTTTCCACTCTTCATCTGGATCTCCCTCGTACCCTCCACTCCCCCCTTGTTCCCCCTTTCGTTCCCCCTGCCTCCCTGTCCCCCCCTCTGTTAACGTCCTATACCTACGCGCTCCGGCTTTTCCTCCCCCTTTCCCGCCCGGCTCCTCCATTCTTCCTCTTCTCTCTTCCCTATCCTCCCCCTTTTCCTCCCCCTCCGCCTTCTCCCTCCCCCATACACCCGCACACCCGTCCTCTCTCACGTCCAGGTCACGCTAATTTCTTGCGCGACAAATCTCGCGCGGATCAAAATTGGATCCCGGCGATACACACTGTATTAGAATCGTCTCTCTATTCTAGTCGTATCGATGTATTTGAATGAGCTGTCGTATGCGCGCGCGACGGTTTTTCTTTTGGTGATAAAGAATCGATGCCGCCCGCTGCTTCTCTTTCGATTTTGTATTAACCGGCAAACAACCATGTAAAGGCCTAACGGAAATTTTCATTTCCGGTTTTAACACGTGACGTTCGGAAAATTCCTTTTCTTTCGCGAAAGATTGCTTGTTCGGCGAAACACTTCAAGTACATAAAAACGCCTGCAACGTCCGAAAGGATCGAATAATCTTCTTAGCTAATCTTCTTAGATGAATTTCTTAGCCAAATTGACCAATATTTTCATTTTGTTTATGGAAAAGTTTATGGAAAAATCAATGAGAAATCTTTATTACGACTTTTCAATTTTTTTATATATGTGTATATATATATATATTTACTTATTTATTTATTTATATATAATGCGAAAAACTAAAAAATTTCAAAGATGAATTTTCAATGTTTTTTTTTTAAAGAATTAAATTGGTCCAATTGCTAAAAAAAATCTATCATTAAAAAGACTGTTAAATGGTCTCAGACATGTTACACGTGTCTTTAAGATGTATTTCAAAGTATTTCATCGAACAATAATCTTTCTAGAAATTTAGAAAAAAATTCCTGATCGCTACGTGTTAAAGCCGGAAGTTAAATTTCCATTAGATGTCCATATTGCTGTCGATATAAAATCGAGAAAAGAGACGAGCGGAGATATCATCGGCATTTGCTTTTGCCGAAAGAAATGAAAGGATAGCACCTCATCCAAATGCGAAATCCAAATCAAATGCGAAAAATTTAAAAGCAATAAAGATATAATTTATATATATATTGTAACTGAATATATTAAATTTTGTTTAAACAGCTTTATCTGGAATTTTTTAATATAAAATCTTAATTCTATCATTTATTTGGTTCTTCAAGATTTAACTTGCAGAAAGCTCTAATTCGCAAGATCTTTTTAATTGCTAAAATTAACGCCTATGAAAATTATTGATAAGGAAATTAGATATTTTTACTAAGGAAAAATTGGCAAAATTTCGAAAGAATCTATTATACAAGGACACTTGAGTTTTGAGACACATCTCAAATATATTTAATTTTAAAGGATATTCTATATAAGTATATTTAATTTTAAAGGAAAAAGAGAAGATTTATATTCTTTTTTTTAGAGATCTTCGTAAGATAATTAAAATTTCTGAGACACACACACACACACACATATATAATAATTCTTGATTCTTATATAATTCTTGTTATTTTTACAGATCATTAATCGCTTGCTAATTTTTAGATTATGTGTATTTCGAGACTTCCACCTCATCACCGTACCAGATTAGAAGGATAGAAGAATTAAATAAGGTAAGAATTAAGCCGGAGCATAGCATTTCATTGAAAAGATACGAGAACGAGAATTATTCCGTGTTCGTCTATACATCTTATGTAAATTCATCTTCTTTATATAAATCTTAATTGCCTCATTTAAATTAATCGTCAATATATAAATATACATATGTATTATTATTAATACGATAGGCCCAAAACATATATTTTTTAACCTTTTAACATCTGTTTCCTGTTTTTCAGACCGCAAATGGAAATGTGGAAGCAAAAGTCATGTGCTTCTTCAGGCGGAGGGATTTGCCTTCTACCTTAGTTATGCTTGCGGACAAACATCAATGTAAGTAGCATACGTCTACGCGCGCAAACTACATGTTATCGTAAATATTTGTAAATGTATGGGAAGATTATGCGTGTTCGAGTCTCGGTGTTAGAATAGAATTATTCAAATTTTCTCTATCATCTCATACACGTTTTTGCGCAAAAAATATAACGCTTCCCTTTTCGTACAGTTGTAGCTAAAATATAAAAGAATATAACGCTTCCCTTTTCGTATAATTGTAGCTAAAAAACAAACTACCTCGAAGATCTATTCTGATGAACGTTTTATGACTCCGATCTCAAATAGTATACTAACACATTACTAACATAATACATCAAAATAGTTTTCTTATTATTAGTATAACATGAGGAAAAGAAGCGAATGACATGTATGTATTAGACATTTTATTCTTCTTCGTCTAATACTGTAAAGCTTGCGATAACCGTTTACGAAACTGAACAATTTTTTAACGTACGCGAAAATTCAACGATACGAGCGAGACTGTGAATTATCGTAAAGTATAAGAGTAAAGGACGAGTCAGTTTTAACCTCGCCAACGTGCAGCAAATCGATATCTGTTCATAGGTGAGGAAAATTCATCCGCGAATACACGAATTTCATCTCCCAACATGGAAGATTCTGTTTGCAATTTCCAGACGATATCGATTTTCTCCGCTTTAGCAATCATTATTTGACGAGAGACACCTCTCGCGATACGGACATAGTTGACGATGAAAAGTCAAGAGAGAGAGAGAGAAAGAAAGAGAGAGAAAGAGAGAGAGATCGGCCGACACCGCGTGTAACGCGACTCGCAGCGGGAAGAGCCATGCGTGGCGTTATCACCTTTGTAATTGTCATCGCGTAACGGCTGTAATCACGCATCTTAGGTCATTTGCCGAGGGAAGATCCGAGGAGAGATATTTCCCTCTGGATATTATAAAGGAAACATTGAAAATGTTCTTTCCTCTTCCATTGATTGATGGGAATCTCTTGGGGATATAGATACGCTTTTAGAGAATTTCGCGCGAGAAGGCGCGTGGTCGGTTTCATACCGCGAAACGATTCGTTTACGTCGCCGGGCATCGATACGTTTCTCCGAAAGGAAAAAAAGAGAGGTAAAAAAAAAAAACGATTACGGGAAACGTATACACACGCACGCACACGCATATTTCTGTTTCTCCGCTATAGCACGCGCTATGTATACACAGTTATACGTTATTCCGGGGCTTTCTCGATTTTTCCTTCGCAATGACAAAGATAATGAGACGCGGGGATTTGGGGTGGGAATGTATAATAAGTAAAGTTGCGGGGGTGGTTGGGCGGGTTGTGAGAGACGGGGGTTGTATCGATCTGCCTGGAGGGGGGGAGGAAAAGGGGGCAGGGGGTGGACGAGGGGGACGCTGGTGCACCCGCTAGGTCCCCCTTTTCCACCTCTTCATCCTCCTCCATCTCCATCTACCTCCCATCGCCCCCTCCCCCCTCCTCCCTCTTCCCCCCTACACCCACCCGACCCACCCACCACCCTCAACTAAATGGATGGCTGACGCAGGGGTTGCTTGGGTATATGTTACGTGTATTTCTCACACACATAGACATCGACGCACGTGTGTGTACGTGTGTGCCCGGGCGAAAATGGTGGGCCCTACTAGCCATCTTCGTTTTAAGCATTCGCTACCACTCTCCCCCTACGTTCGTCCCCCTTGCCGAAGCCCCCGTTCCGCTTCTCCCTTCCCCTCGTCTTTCGCGCGCCGTGTATATGTGCATGTCTCTCTCACTCTCTCTCTCTCTCTCTCTTTCTCTCTCTCTTTGTCTGTGTCTTATTCGTGTGTATATGTAACGGCTCGTCGTCCATGTATGCGTCCGTCCAACGGTATTTGCTCCGAATTGGGTTTCTCCCTTCTCCCCCTTCCCTTTCCTTCCTTCCTCCTTTCCGCCGTATTCTCTCTTTCTCTCTCTGTCTCTCTCTCTTTCTCTCTCTCTCTCTCTCTCTCTCTCTCTCTTTCTCGCACTCCGGGTATCTCGAATTTTCGCGAAAAAAAGAATATACGCTTTTCCTTTGTCTTTCGCGGAAGTCGATACACCATGCACCACGGGCGCTATTGCACACCCGGGTGTGCCCGCGTGCGATTACAAACGGGAATGAGAGTGGGGGGGGCGGGGGGGGGAGGTGGGGTCAAAGAAAAAGGGCTGCTTTGTACAGAAATTGGTTTTAGTCCATACTCTCGCCGCTCTATACGGGTTTTCGTGGATGGATCACAAAAAAAAAAAGAAAGAAAAATCAGCGGCTAATTAGACGCCGGCCGAAAGTTCGACCGACTGTAATAATAATTTTTACCTCGTTTTACCCTTCGCGATCGACCAGCGCCCGCGGATGTGAAAACCGCGCGTTGGATGATTTCCACTTTATTTTGCGTATAAGGACCGGGAACAACACACGGATAGAGAAAGACAGAGAGAGAGAGAGAAAGAGAGAGGTCGAACCGAAAATGCACGCGCGCTAATAATTACACGGAGTACTTACTCCGTCGTATTATGTTCCGTCTGAAATGCGAAATGAATAATCGATGCATGGGAGGAGGGTATTTTGATCCACGCTCTCGCGGAGTAACGGTCAACGTGGTGAGGTATTGATCTGATATGTCGCGAATGTGAAAATATACGACGCGGGACTATGAATGAATAAATAGAAACGCGAATGTATAAAATTGTCTAAGATAATGAAAATTATGATGAATCTAATTGTAATACGCGATCCTTAATTGTATTTGACGAGGGAATACATTTGACGATTTTTGAAGATTTTGTCCCTTAAGTTGATATATAAGTTAATGAGGTAAAGAACGGAGTAAAGAGATTGAAGGATTCCTCGTGTTTTTCTTACGGGGTGTAAGGTATAGCGGTTAGTATACAGTCGTATACATATATCTTGAAGCGTTCTATTGTGTACAAGATTAGAAAACGAGAAATACGTAGAGTGGGTTTCTTGTAATGAAAATTCCAGTGGCAAGCGCGGAGCAGCAGAGGTCAGAATCCCCTGCGAGCACGCAGAATCAGAAACTCGAGAACCCTGACACTACTAAGGAAATGACTAGTAAAGATGGGATTGGGCCCAAAGTGATGATCAAAGGGGGCGGGAAAGGGGGCTGGCTGAAGGCCCCATTATCGGAGGCCCAAGAGCCCCATGGTGAGTGAGAGTAGACTCATCAAAAGATGACCATTACCGATGAATCTAATCGAGCTTTATATCTGCAAAATAATCAATCGAAAATATCATTTCAAAACATATAAATAGGTTTATTTATGCATGTAATATATTAAGTTTGTATATTTCACATATATACAATATAAAATTATATCCACAGAAATAAATAATTACATTATTCAATAAAGAATGTAGAAAAATTAATTTTAGTATAATTAAGTTAGTACATTATATATATATATATATATATATATATATATATATATATATAATGTACTAACTTAATTATACTAAAATTAATTTTTCTACATTCTTTATTGAATAATGTAATTATTTATTTCTGTGGATATAATTTTATATTGTATTTCTATTTCACATTCTATATATTTCACACTCTAAAATTAAAGGTGTTTTTGAGTAAAAATACTTGATTGATTTTTATGTCATATTTTTATTTTATATTTTTAATCTTAATAATATCTTAATAATATCTTAATTGATATTAATATTAATTTGTTAAAATAGTTTTTAAATATAATTATATAATTTTATATTATTTTATATAATTGTAAGATTTATTACATATATATAAGAAAATATAATTTTATTAATAAAATTAAGAGTTGCACATGTTTTATGAGAAATAAAAACATAAGTATATACGTTTATTACTGCAGAGGCATAGATTCATCGATAAACGGTATACGATTTGCATCTTTTGATTATCTCATTAATCTTGTATAGAAGCCAGTGACGATATAAGGCTACTGATCATAGCGGCGGGATTTAAGAAAAAAAATTCTTTGTAATCTTGGTGTGTACCGCGAGTTAAGGCAAGTTTCACTGTAAGGCCAAAGAGACAATAAATTGGGCATAAACCGGGCTCCTTTTTCTTTTTAAGTTAATTGACAAGGGGTTCGGCGATTTTCTCACAAAAGTGCCCATACATGTACAAATCATTCATATTCATATATCATTCATATAAATACCTTATCCATCTGTTTATTATTGCGTTATTAGATTATCATACATTTGTCTCAATATCAGTACCTTGATCTTTTCTATTCATTAGCTTCAAATATATCCATTTATCAAGTTAATTAATTATCAATCCGACATGGTACATCTTCATTCTCACTGTCATTCACATATCATTTACACAGATTTAAAGAAAAAATCCCGCCGCATCATATACGATGACACTTTAGTAATCTGAGGCTTCTCTAAATGACGTAATTCTCTATCGATAGTTAATCGCTTTTCCGTTGCAGATTATTGTTTTTGCCTTGTATATTATTCTTCATTTGTCTTTATGTTGCCCGCTCTTGCTGATATTTCCTTTTTTTGGTTTAATATTACTCGAGTTTTGAATGATTCTGTACCGTAACCGATCTTCGCGTTTCATTTACTTCATGACTTTAACTTAGAACGAAATAATCGGATGAATAAAAGATTAATTGAAAAGATAATGTTACCTCTAGGATTTTTTTTCGGTTAACCGAAAAAATGACGTTGAGGAAATACGAAAAATTAATTTTTACTTGATACTAATTTTATTACAAATAATGTAACGATTAGTAGAAAAGCATAAGCGAGAAAAAAATGATAACTTTATGTATATCATACAGTATATACCTCTTTCATTATTATGGTATATTTGTTTTTCTCTAAATAATTTTTATCAAATAATTGATCTCTTTTATTTAAACGAGAAAGTCTTCTATATATTTAGAAAGAAAACGTTTATGAAAATTTCAAAATTATTTGCATAAAAAATTAAATATTATATTATTTTTATTTTATTATATTCAGCTTTTTCAATTTTATTTTATTATTAATAATTTTTTTTGCAATTTCAACTTTTTAAATCAATTCGTACAACAAATGATTATATTTCATTTTATAGTATCATTGAACACAAATATTACTTCAATTTCTTATGATGTAGGGATGGAGGACAGTGTTCCTGGTGGAGTAACGGAATTAAATACCAAGCAACGTCACCAAATGAAACACAGAGAATTGTTTTTATCGCGACAAGTGGAGACCATGCCTGCTACGCATATTCGGGGCAAATGCTGCGTAACATTATTGAACGAAACCGAATCCTTGTTGAGCTATTTAAACAAGGAGGATTCATTTTTTTACTGTTTAGTATTTGATCCTGCTCAGCGTACTTTGCTTGCTGATAAAGGTAAATCAAAGTATCAAAATAAATATTCAATTAATTTTTTTTTCTATTAATGTAATATTATATATCCTACAAATAACTCAGAGATTAATGAAATTATATCTGTTGTTATAGGTGAAATTAGAGTAGGTAGTAGATATCAAGCGATAGACATACCGGCGGTATTAACGGCCGCAGAAAAAGAAGCGGATTCTCGTAAGTTACAAGATCTGGAAACTTTGGTTTGGACTCCGAGACACAATTTGACGGACCGTCAGATTGATCAATTCCTTGTGATTAGTAGATCAGTAGGTACTTTTGCGAGAGCCTTGGACTGTTCGTCCTCCATCAAGCAGCCCTCTTTGCACATGTCTGCAGCTGCTGCATCTAGAGACATTACTCTAGTAAGAATTTATACTTCATTTCTTATCAAGATATCCATGCGCTTTCTGAAAGTATACAAAATTAATTTCTCATGTTTCAAATTTTATTAAGTTTTTTGTGAATTGCATTACAGTTTCATGCGATGGATACCTTACATCTGCACGGCTATGATTTGTCGAATGCCTTAGCATCTCTAGTACCTAGTACCGGTCCGGTACTATGTCGAGACGAGATGGAAGAATGGAGCGCGTCCGAAGCAAATCTGTTCGAAGAAGCGCTTGATAAATACGGAAAGGATTTTGCTGATATACGAACGGACTTTGTAAGTACACAATTAATAGATGAATCCCAACTGTATTCGAACAAGTTCACTAATATGTATTTCGTATATTTTTCAGTTACCATGGAAAACGCTGAAGAATGTAATCGAATATTATTACATGTGGAAAACGACGGATCGATATGTTCAACAGAAAAGAGTGAAGGCTGTAGAAGCGGAAAGTAAACTGAAGCAAGTTTACATACCAAATTATAATAAGACTCCTGCATCGACTACTGCACCTTCTACGGCCACAATCGTACCTCTGGGCAATAGCAACAGCAATAGTAACGGAAAGCCAACCAACATTTTGAATGGTAACAGTAACGGTAGCATGGTGGCCGACAATTCTGGGATACTTATGGTCGGAGTCAGTGGAAAACCGTGCGAAGGCTGTCAGGGCTTACAGAGTCCGCAGTGGTATGCGTGGGGACCATCGCATATGCAGTATCGTCTTTGTCAACCTTGTTGGACGTACTGGAAGAAATATGGAGGACTTAAGGTTATACGATTGTTTCAATAACTTGCATTTAATACACCAGTACAAGTATATTTCATATTCCTGTTTTATTATTTTGAATCACAGGTGCCATCGCGCATCGACGATGTCGATCTTGAGAGAAAACGTACTGGCGCAGGTTCGGACGAAGAGAGCAAGGGTATCAGCGGCGCACACAGGCCGCATCGATGCAATGTTCCCACTTGTGGCAAGGAGTTTAAATTGAAGGCCCATTTGAGTCGTCACTATGCGAGCACGCACGGAGTGGATTTGCGTGGCGCTGCCGGAAGCGGCGGTGGCGGAAGTGGATCACCACGACCAGTTATGAAAACTCGATCCGCATTCTACTTGCGCACCTCCCTATTAGCCCGCGCCGCACGACGACTCTGTCCTGCGCAATTGCGAACACGTCATGCCGCGCGAGCGCCACATCAACCAGTAAATACAATGTCGTTGCGACATTTTTGTGTCCAGTTGGCCTCCAAAAGTCCCGCGGAACTCCGTATTCTGGCGCGCGCTGTACGACCTCGGCCGCGTCCGCGTGTAACAGACATCGCTTCACGCCTGGGCGATCTGAATCCTGAACCACAGCTGCCCGGCGACTGGGACTGGCTGATGCTGACCACCCCGGCACAACGCAAGCAGCCCGACCGGGTTTCGTTTCCACGTCCGCCAAAGGCGCCTGGTACATAACAAACATTTTATATTTATACATGCACATAAAGAGCGTTTTCATTTTAAACGATGTATGCATGTATCTGGTAATTAAAAAAAGTTTTAAATAAAAAAATTGACTTCGAAGGGGATATAATTTTATGTCGAATTTTATTTTTATAAAATTACTGTGTATATATGTGTATGTGTGTATGTGTGTGTATGTATATGTATATATAAGAAATTTTTACTACTGTATAGACGGCAGTCTTTTATACGAGAGAGTGCCGAATAAACCCGAAGTGGATAGGCTCACGTTGACGCCACCCCAACCGCAACCAGTCATGTCGACTCAACAGAATATCTTGAAACGCACAAGACCCTTTGACGAAATCAATGGTTCAGATGGTAAGTTTTTCAATCTGATGCGCATTGTCTGTTAGGGTAGTCTATTAGGTCGTACAATTTCGAATCGTAGTGAATTGAATTTTGTTTTTTTTTATCGGCTTCTATTCGGATGTGGATTGGGATAAAGGTAAAATTCAAATTTAATAATTGCGTGTGATAATAATTGATATCGCGATGAGATATAATTTTTTTTAAGAGAGTATTTGAAACTATAAGATTTCAGTTAGCAAATATAATTGTAAAATATTGTAACAATTTTTCTAAGGAAATGTGGCTCCCAATCACATTCATATAATTGAAAATGAAATTTATCATATAGCGTGTATGTAATATTTTATGTTTGTCTTTTATTATAAAAAATAAGTTTATAGACACTTGATAAAGAGATGATTAGATATTGATAAATAACAATAAAAATTAATGGTCTCAGAGAAAGAACAATTTGTCATCTTATACTTTCTCCTATTTATGATATATAAATTATAAGTATTATTAAAGAAAGAAAAATTTTATATATATATCTTAATAAGTATATTATATATTATGTATTATTAAATTTTTTAAAATAATTATTTTGTCTAAACGTTAGCTAAAAATGCGATTTTCTGCGACGGCTATATAGGATTTTCATAAGCGTATATAAGTATCTACACATTAAATAATTTTAAAAAGTGATATTTTGAAAGAATATTAATATCGCGAAAATACCTCGCAAGTTAAATTAATTCTTTTTAAATCTAACGTCTTTATTTCCTTTAAGGTATCGCTCTAAATGCGACACTTCCTCCCGGTGGACCTCCCGCAAAGAGGATTCATCATGCACAACAATTGCATCCGAAACACACGCTAGAACATCCTGCGCCCGCTGTTCTTCCTCTCGCACCACCTCTCAACGGCAGAGCTACTCATCCACATACGCTACCCCATGGTGTACCGTTGTCTAGAAGTAATGCACGTAAACAAGTTATATCGTGGATGGATGCGCCTGATGATGTATATTTTCGCGCCACCGAACAGATCAAGTTAGTATAAATTAAAGTAACAAAGTAAAACTATAATGTGTAATATAATATAATATAATATATATATATATATATATATATATATATATTTATTTATTTATTTATTTATTTATTTATTTATTTATTTATTTAATTTACTTATTTTTGCTTACATTTATTTAGGTTTACTGCTTTAAAATGACTCACAAAACAAGTTTTGCATACTGACATATAGTTTTTCGGACTCGCTTCGAAATAACTCACAAGACAAAAGGATTGCATATTGACGTATAATTGCTCGGACTCGCTTCGAAATGACTCACAAGGCAAAAGTTTTGCATACTGACTTATAGTTTTTCGGATTCATACATACATACGTTGTACAAATACACATATCTAATAATAAATTTAAATATGAATTCAGAAAGGACATTATACATTATTTTTGACTTACTTGATTATATTATTGTTTAATTACTGAGAAAATAATTATAAAAATTTTGTAATATATAAAAGTTTTATCCGTGAACTTTAACTTTTTTAATGGACTTTAATAATTACAAATATACAATACAGCGCATTTGGTGCATGTATTGATTCTTGTGATTTATCAAATTGCAGACGAGTTAGAAGAACTTTGGCCTCGGTGGAGTTACGAAGAGCAGCGCGTAAGCCATGGCGCAGATTGTCGATCCCTCTACATCCGCCTCATCTTCAAAGAACAGTGCGTGGTGAAGATATGGTCGTCATTTTGGACTAAATGTAATATTGAATAATAAAATTGTGTATGTTGGTCCACTACACACAAAACACAACGCTGTTATCGATCTTTAACGAGTGAAATTATGCAAAATAAAGGTTACAATTTTGTGTATTGTAATCGGCAGCTCCGATCGAGCAGGAATTGCTAGCTAAAAAAACGCAAAGATCTCGAAAGCTCTCCCGCGAGAATTTTTTTTTTTTTTATCGGAGCTGAACAAAAATTACCGTAATCGAGAGAAAGGCCTCGTTTGATCGCACACGCATGCTAACAATCGACAACATCGTTGAACTGAACTTCATTGCTTATGAAGTACTACTGACGAATTAAATCTTTTGTTTTCTTGTTAGTCATATTGAATGTTAGAAGCGAGAAATGAATATTTTTCTTGTAATATATACAAAATACGAAAGCCGAAATAAGTTATAAATTTTTTTCACATATCATTACTTGCATTTCGATGGTATATATATCTAATGTATCGAAAACTCCCTTTTTATCAACTTGCATTAGTAAACGCACATATATTTTATTTGCATGTTTTACATAGTCAATGAAAATACATGACAACTTATGCAGATTTAGAATTACTTATATATATCGTTGCAAGCAAATAATGAAAGAAACTATTCTATTATATATATATATATATATATATATATATATATATATATATATATATATATTTACAAGAAAAAAAATCATATTTCTCATTTTTAATGTTATAATTAAATATGACGTAAATGAGGGAACAGAAGTTTTAATATGCAGCAAACTAAGTCATTCAACGTAAAATGATTTTCTATTCGTATTAATTAATTATTGTTGTTATTATAATAATTATTAAGAATTGAATGTGTATATATACATATACATCGTACCACAGACATAGCCAAGTAACACCCATACACAACCATACACTTTCATACATAATTCTACACGTATACCAGATGCCGAAAATCGGCATAATGGTAAAAAAATTGATCCATACCTGCGGATAAGCTCATGAATGGCTGCGTTCAGAAACAACGGTATGACTTTTCAGCGTCATTGAAGACGAGTATACTTTTAAATCTACATCAGCGGATCATGTTTTGTAAAAGTCAATCACCGTTGCATTTTCTATAAGCAGCTAATGTTACGGCCATGCAGGCAACAGAGACAGACGTATGTATGAACGGAAATGAATGTGTAAGAGAGAAAGACTAAGCGAGAAAGTAAAAGAATGAAAGATAGAATGAATTAGTACGTACGAGACAGCAAGAAAGAATGCTCACTGTGAATATTTTTATTAAATTTTCAAGTTTGATGACTCTCTTCCGTCGCAACAATTAATAAATAAACATAAGCATAAGTAAAAGAATACCTAATTATTTCCCTATTACTATTATACTTCAAAAAATACATGCAAAGTAATATATAAGAACAGTTGCATATTGCATGCGGATTTTGTGAAAGCTACAAAATTTTATATGAAAAATTTAAATTGTTACTGCACACTGTGGTATTTAGTACAAATAGTATTACCAGTATAGTAAAAATCAAGATTAGCAAATAACGCGTTATCATTAGTTATTATTTTTGGATAACTAATTATATATGGTTTTTTTTATGTAAAAGCCAAAAATGTAAATTTTCTGTTTATATATATATATATACACACGCACACATTTTGATCTCAAACTATCATTTAAGAAGTAAAACCGAAAAAACGAAATAATATATTATCTACAGTATTTGTTGTAATTATATATATACACAATATATATAATTATATTATTATATAGATAATATATATTTCGTTTTTGTTATATATATATAAAATTAATCTATATATTATCTATCTATAATCTATATATTTTTCGTTATATAAAAATTTATCTATTAATTTTATATACATAAGTTAATTATAAGAATATTTTTTTTAATAAGAGTATTATTAGGGTTTATTTAAGATAAGACTAGGATTCGTTTCTTTCTCCAGAGAAATGTGTGCTGGGCGTAGTATCCATCATATTTTCTAAAAGTCGTGCTTCCTCTTCCTCATCATCCTCTTCATCTTCGGGTTCTGCTTCAGTCTCGAGTAAACGGATCTTTCTATTATTTTCGTTTAAAATGGCAGCTACTTTTCGAGGACCGCTGACCGCTAGTCGTCTCGCGGATATTCCTTGAAACGGTTTTGGCCACGTTGCACTAATGATATCGGCCAAAGTCACCGTATTGTCTTGATACAGAGTAGATATATTATGCAATGGCACTTGTACGAGAGACGATGCATGAGTTTGTTTGTTTAATATCAGTAAACTAAGATAATCTTGTGAGTAAAATTGTAAATCCACTATCACAGTATCCGTGCTTTCTCCTAAAGACATACAGAAAAATTATATTTTTACATCCTGTAATGGAGAAGATAATTTCAATATTTGTAAACAGAATGAAGTGCTGTACTAACCTTGCTTATAATTTACATCTATCGTAACCATTTTTGAAGCAAGAGATGCAGGTTCTACAGATGAATATTCGATATTAAAAAGTTTCAAAATTTTGCTATCAGCATCACTCATAGCTAATAAGAGATTTCCGTTGCTCGTTAGAATCTGGGAAGATACGAGAGACGCAAACGACGGTAGAGAGATCGAAACCATTATAAAATGCTCGACTAAACCTCGATAGGCTTCTGCGAAAACATTTTCCACAACAGTAACTAATTTTGCATGAGACTGTAGTAAGGATAAATTAAAATCCTGTTTCACTATATGCGCATAATCGCGCAAGCAGTTATTTGCCTCGAGCATAGCAGCCCATTCGCTTCCTTCCGAGGTCAGAGGAGCTTGTAGATTTTCATGACGCAAATATTGACCTAATTTTTCTAGATTTATCCTACCATTCATTCTTGGGGCGGTTTTATCAAAACCATTCAAAAATTCAGCGATAAACGTTAATTCTTGCTGACTTACGCGGCTTACTTCCGAAGGTGCTTTTTCATCTGTTAATTGAAGAATGGCTACATATAACCATCTGTAAATATAACGAGACCGATTACAACAATTAAATATAAACAATATTAATTAATCACTCGATTTGTAATTTGTATTATACCGGAAAAATGCTTTGTAATTGCGCATACTCTGATCTATCACTTGCTCAACTTCATATGATTTTGCCAAGAAAGCCTCAGATTCATTGATGGCATTAGTCACAAGCGTTTCATCGCGCAATCCTAGCGCTTCGTATGTGCCACCTACTCGTGCCATACCTCTTAATTCGGCTAACTGATAAACTAAGGCCATACCGACGCCAGTTAAATTTTTTGAGACCAATTTCTGAAAAGGAATAATCATTAGTTATCTTAACATTTAAAAATGGAACACGAAATGCGGCAATTAAATTAAGAGATAACATTCGATGTTTTACAAGTACCTGTATGTTACTATAACACATCTCAATACTATGCCCAAATTTTTTCAATCCTTTCTCCGTAAGATCCCGAAGTAGAAAATGTTCTAAATTTTTTGTAGGTATTCCGATCATTAATAGTTCTAAGAAGTCTGCGGCCATACTACCAGGTGGATTTGATTCCGCGTATCGCGTGAGTTTCTCATCCATTTCCAAAAGTATTGTCTCCCAAGCTTCGCAAGTAGCCATTAAAGTACGTGAGAGATAGTCTTTTAAACATTCTACATGAGCTTGAATTTGGGCAACCTAAAAATATATAATGTTCTAATAATTTTATGTTTTTTTTCTTTACAATATTTTAAGCTAAGATACATGATACTTTGAAAAATAATGCTTTTTGCACTAAAACTTTTGTTACAAATACAATTATAAAGTATATTATATATAAGAAACCTTGAGAAATGCTGTACTCTTCTCAAGTAGAGAACAGGATACTCTAGTTGTTTTAATACAACTATTGTCTTTCCACGTAACCCATATTGGGTCACCAGATCCACCTATAATTTGTAAAATTGGTCCATACCCTATATTTATGATGCCACAATAAAACATTCCAAAAATATACATTAGCACTGTACCATTTTCCTGGCCAATCTATAAAAGATAAATATGTGATTATTATTCACTATTATCATAAATATGTTATAAGTACTGTATCTTATAGTACATACAAAGAGCATATCTAGAATGTGAGACAAAAATTCCTTGCGTTCTGGCTCTGAGCTGTAACTTCTGATTAAATTGGCCAAAGGTGGTAGATAATCGCCTGTAGGTTCACTAACTTTATCATTTGTTGGTGGATTTTCATATTCTGACAGCGACAACCATTTAACACAAGCGGTTGATTCATTTGATGGCAATTTGGTTTTATGAATAATATTTTTAGTTTCAACATCAATGAGACAGAGTAGCTTGGACATTTCGTAGCATACTGCAAGAAGCTTGCCATCAGGTCTCCATGCCAGATGGACAGTTGTATCAGATTCATCTTGTGGACTCAACAACCAGACCCTTTGCCAGGTGAGCCTATGAAGAACGACTTCACCTGAAATATTTCATGCTGATGAAATTGTTGAATTTTCTAAGAGATAATTTTTTTTTAACATTATATGACAACATAAACATTATATGACAAATTGAAAAGCTTGATTTTCTTTTTTTGTAGAGAAAGAGAGAAGATAAAATTAACTTTGCCTAATGTTAAGTAGACACATGTTTTCAGAAACTAACCTTTCACATTGCTAATTGCCAGGAGATCCATTTTCGGTGACCACAACATCGTCGTCACTTCTGCGGGAAGCTGACGCTCCTCCAGTTGTCTCATAGTACCAGCCATGACTTAAAAAATTATCTTTCAACCCAACTTTCTAAAGAAAATCCTCGTAATATAACAATTAGCTAACCAGCATCACAGATGATCACAGACATCAAAATAATCGCGATTAATCATGTATAACAAAACTAGCGAAGGAACCGAGCGAGCGAGAGAAGTGATGACTCTCAACAAAACGTTACAAGAAAAAATAAAACAATAATATACACATCGATTTGAGATCGGGCGCGTAAACGTCACGTGTCGACTCAACAGGTTTCTTTACTTTACTTGCATTTCCTAAAATTATTCGCAAACGAGATAAATATATATTCAGATTGAAGAAAGAGAGATTCAAGGGAAAATGCAAGCAAAATGAACAAACCAATTGTCAAATTAGTCTACAGAAAAAATAAAAATATATCACAGATCAAGAGATTGCTAGGTTACGACGCTACACGCTGTAAATCTGTGGAGGGGATATGTTGACATTGGAGGTGCATATGCGATAGCAAGGTCCGTAGATAGAGGAACCAGACCTTGTGCAATATATGTTATAAATACGATATATGTATAAATGTTATAAACTATAAACGAAGAGCAAGCTTCATTCAAAGATTTGCTCTTTATTGCTAAACTTTTTGCATTAATGTATTAAAGGTCCTTAATTAGAGATCGAGCAAACGATTTCTGATTGGCTCGTGTCGCATAGGATAAATTTTAATTACTTTCAATTATGTCAAAATTAAATTTTAACACCTCATCAATTATATTGTTGAAATAAAGAATTTATATACATTTCAAACTGATGAGATATATATTTTACATGAAAAATATATATATGGATAATTTAAAAAAAAGTGCCTTGAATGAATTAAAAAGTTAGGATTAATAAAAAGAACTTTTATGATTACCATAATTTTACCAATAAAGTAAAAATCGCCACCACATGGAATATTATAATCCGATCATTTTGATAATACCAAAATGCAATATATAAATATATTTATAAATTTTGTTTAACTTGATATGAATGATAAATTCATTGATAATAATTTATAAATTCAAATCTGTATAAATTTCACAATATTCTCTTGTCTTACATTTTTATTATTATTGAGAAATATCAATGCTACTCTTAATTTTTTTATTTATTTCTTGATGGAATGTCTTTGTATTATTTCATTAATATTATTTTATTAAGAAATATTATATTATTTAATATAGTGTTCATGGTACAAGAGAATATTTGTCAAACTTTTTATTATAATTAATTAATCTCATCTCTTATGTACATGATCTTCTCCCTTTCGATCATTTCTCCATTCTCGTATCTCCATACTATATTTAGCCACAATAATGATTGGCCGAAAATGATTGGTCCACGAAAATGATTGGCCCTTCTCTCGTGGAAAGTTACAATATGGAGTATAACAATATGGTCTATTCTCGTTCTCTCTGTTTTAATTGCTTGATTCGATGAAAAAATTCGTATTTCTGTCTTATCAAATACTTATTCCTTATACTTCTATATTCTTGACTAAAATAAAAAAATCTATACAGAAGATCCTTTTAATGAATGTAAAAATCTTTTAATAAAAAGATCTATACAGAAGAATCTTTTAATGAATATACAACTCGAATGGAAATATTCAACATTTTTTTCATTATCTATTCATTTTAAAGAAATTTTTTTAAAGAAAATAAAACATTGTTGGGAAAAAGGATTTACAGATTCGAAAGATGATATTTTAAGTGAAGGCGCTATAATAATGAAAAAGTTGTCTTAATTTATTTAGATAGAAACTTATACATTTTTTATTTATTCTTACTTGTTTCTTTTTATATAGATATTTTTTCATATAATATAGTTATGTAATTCGCGTTTTACAATTATTGATTTATCGAGATATTTTTCCAAATTATTAAGCGGAAATTTTCATTTTTTTTCCTACCTTTTTTATTAAAATTTTTTGTATTACAAAAGGATATCGTTTTCGTTATTAAATTTGATAATTTCAAGAATTTTAATATAAACGCAATTGAATCAAAATAAACTGTATCGATATTATAAGTGACTATAACTCTTCTTAGCTCTCTATTTTATGGATAAATTTACGTTAACATACTCAGATTCTGGTCTACAGGTTTGCATCCATTTATATTTGGCTAGTTAATAGCATTTGAATTATTTTGTTTCTTATTCTATCTATCTTGATGATCATTTCACTTATTTCCAATCTTTTCAGATTTTTCCTAACATGCAAATGATTTGTTCCTTCTCCTCTTTCTCTGTTTTCTTATAATGACTTTGTTTTCTTTTTCTCCGAATTATTCTGAACGATTTTCCATGACGATTTGAATAACGATTGAACAACAATTGAAACAATGATTAAACAATGATTTAAATAACAATTTGAATAATGAGATTGCGCGGTGACTTTTTTCAATCGCGATGCAGCATGCCAAACGTTATCTTGTCAATGAAACTGTTGGCATTCAGGAATTCTGCGAATTTTTGTCTGGATAAACCTGGAATCAGAATAAAAAATTTGAATAATTAAAAGAAATAATTTTCTAAATTGGAAAAAATCTATAACTCTACAATGAACATGTTGCAGGATGTAACTGAATAAACGTTTATTCATATGTGAGTCGCTTAATTAAGAATTAAACTAATTAAAAGAAAACAAAAGATCATCAAAAATCGAGATAAATGCAGTTTATTATTGATAAATTAATTTTACTAACTGTTAATAAATTAATTGTACTAACTACCTTCGTCTCTGTCGTTAAAGCAGTTGGTGACTTTATTTCTTAATGATAACTTCGTGTCGGTATTTTCCAAGTTTAGTGAAGAATCTTTTTCAACAATGTAAATTACATCATAAAAGATCATGTTTTTCTTTATATCGTATTGCCGCTAATAATTAAAGTTTATATATTCAAGTTACATAAAAATTAATCAGCTGTTTATTAACGAGTGAAAAATAAACAAGATTAAATTGAGCTTACGTAAAGAATCGGTAAACTTGATGAGACTTGAAACTCTCACTTTCTTCGACGCAATTGTAATGAGTGATATTAGCTGCGGAAAATCCATAATTGCCATCCGGTGCTGCCACCACAATCGTTCCTCGAAGCGCAAGAACAGTGTCGCGCCCGGATTCCGTTGCCATAGTAACGACGGGCTATTTACTCGTCGATCCGAATTCGAATCGCGGTTTCGTAATCGCGTTGTTAAACAATCGCGGTCGGTTAAATACGGAATTTCCGCTCGCGAAATCGCGGGTCGCCCTCGCGGCGCGATTCTGACGTTTCGCGCATCGCGCTGATGGATCGGACGCGCGGAATAAGGTTAGACAATATCGCGAATACGGCGGGAGTGCGTCCGGAAAATGAATGCGAGATCAAACAATTTGCGGATGATAACGGACCAAGTGGCGATAAAGTGTTAACGCAAATCGGACGTCCCGAGGAGATCCTGCGACAAGTGCAACGCGAGTTGTGCCTCGTCAAATTATGTTGGCCCGATGTCCCGATAACCAAGGATCTTTATATCCGAACGCTTCCGGATACTTATCGACGCGTCAGCGATAAGGAGAGATTATTGTTGTGGTACGCGGAAAACTTTCGTCGACAGATCCACGCGAAGGACGCGAGTCGCCGGCCGCTGTTGTTGGCATGTGAAAACGAATGTGGCGTACAAGTAAGTCTATATATGAAATTCCGTTTTCGAAGAAATTGTATTAACCTTTAACTGATACTGGAGAAAGCGCGAGATATCCCAATAAATCAATATAATAAATTGGAAAAATCTTGTTTTTTTTTTTCTGAACTCTTACCTTAGTTCGATAAAACTATTTTTTGGCGAATAGTAACAGTGATCTGATAAATCGCGCATAATATTAGTTAAATAGAAGCAAAATATAGGAGAATTAACGTTGATTTTGCAAAATTCGTGACCACCATTTTGTGCTAAATATTAGTTCCTATATTTTCTTGTAATATATTACACTGTTAAAATATAATTAAAATCACACGATATTAAGAAAAATGAGTTACAATGAAAAGCTATTGTTCAAAAGAATAAAGCAAATCAAGGTAAATTTGAAGCAGAATGTAAATACGCGAACGATAATAAATCGATTTAATATCGAAACTCCGTCGTTTACATACAAGAACAGCCTTTCGATGTTTATTTTTCATTTTTCAACCTTTCCCAATTTAAATTATATAAATTACAAGAATAAAATAAGTTTTATATGGCGAACAGGAATATCTTATTTTAATAATAAATATATTAGAGTGTATTTTTTAAATGAATCAATAAATAGTTTAAGCAATCATATGAAATTACACCGAATAAAAAAAAAGTGAAAACGATAACTGATGATATCGATATTTCTTTATACATACAAGAACAACCTTTCGATGTTTATTTTTCACGTTTCGTTCAACGACCATTTTCGTTTAAAATTATATAAGTTACAAATAAAATAAATTTTATATATAGAAAAACAGGAATTTTAAGTAATAAATGTTTTAATTTAAAATTATAAATGTTTTAATTGAATCAACCAGTTCAAGCAATCACATAAAATTATGTCAGATGAAAAGACAACTGATATTAGATTGAAATGAATATATGTACAAAATAAGAATCTCACATTATTGTTTAAATTATATTTCTGCCGATTGATGAGTAATTAAAAATTAAATGCAGGCAAAACAGTTTTTAATAAGCAGTAATTACCTGGGAAAATCCATTCGTATCTATTCGTATGTGTGAGATGTATTGAAAAAGCTCGGTCCGTTGACGAAGTATAACAAATAGTGGGATAACTATAGATAAAAACGCAAATATAAATATGTAATTTTATTCTTATAATTATAATTATCAATTTAACATAGATTAAATTGTTCATAATCTAAGAATTATGATGTTATGTAAAGTTAAAGCACGTGTATTCCATGTGATGAAAAGGACAATATAGTTTAAGCAAATAGATAAACTGACCTCGTAGAACATTGACCGTGGAGTAATAGACTTGCAGATACCAGAAGTACTTGTATGAAACACGTAAGCGTTAACGATGATATTAAACAGATTTAACACTTCGATTATTAGTCGCGATCACCCTTTCTAGCGCGCACTTTCTCGATTAATAATCCGTAACAGTCGGGATCAGCGAGACACCGAGGGAACGAGCACGAAATGATGACCTTCAATAAAACCCTGACACGAACAAAACAAGGCAGGAGTTTCACGAATAATATACACATCGATTGTGAGACCGGGCATACAAACGTCACGTGTCGAATTCGATTTCGAATTAATCTATACGGAAAAAATAAAAATAATATCATAGATCCCAATGTGCTTGGTTTAACTATATTAGGAAGAGATTACGCGTATGTGCCAGAATTTATATATGTTTATATATTTATATAGAACTGACATAAATTTTTCTAAAATTATTAAATGAATTTTTAAGATTTACTTGTGTCGTTTAAAAGTATGGTACATATATATATTCTGTATACTAATTGATATAATTATACATCATTACATATATTTATATATTAGAGTTTATATTTGTATGTATATATAGTATATGTACCAATATACATATTTCGCGCAAACGCATAAATGATTTGCGACAGGGATACAAATAGATAAAAGAAGAGATTTCGGTTACTTTTGCTCAGAAACGACTGTATTCTAAAGGTGAATCACACAATGTAAAGTAATGTTTTCCACATGATTCCTTACCTGTATAAATCTTCAAACACTGGTGAAAATCTCATCTAACGTTGTGTACTCTAAGAGAAGAAGAGAAAGGAGATCATAAAAATAATGTATAATGTAAGTTAAAAGATTAATACGATACGCATTATAAATTTGGCATTTATTTAGAATATATATAGAATATTATTTATTTAGAAATTTAAAATATTTAGATATTTAAAATAAACGCGTGATTTTTACGTCTAGTTTCAGATAGGCAATGAAACCGACGACAGTATTTCGCCAAACATTACCAACTGCTTTTATCGTTTGCAATAGATTATGCATTTACAAGTTAAATAAGTATCACTTTTGCAACGAAACACTTTAGTAAAGAAACAAATTGTTTTGTTATCCTACATTTGCGTTTTGCTTCGAATTTACTTTTATTTTACTTTCTTCTTTTCATCATTCATTTAGCGAACCAATTTTATTGTGTCTTTAATTATACTTTATCAATGATATTTATCGATAATATTCTTTTAAAGTTCTTAAATTATCGATATTAAAAAAAAAGATTTATACAATAAAGAACCGACAATCTACTTTTCAATTAAATGTCATTCACCTTATTGAGTAATTAAATTATTATATATATATATATATATATATATATATATATATATATTTCATTTAATTTATTTATTTATAAAAAGTCTTGTTATTTGTTGATATGTGAAATTAGTTTGTATCAAGAATTTTTGAAAGTTTAAACGTTTTTTCCTGTAATTTTCTTTGGTGAAATAATCTAAACAATCTAAATAGAAGTAATATAATGGAATATTTTTTTATAACATTACATTATTTTTTAGATATTGTAAGTTTCCCTAAACAACTTTTGTATTTTTTTCATTATAACTTTTACTATATTTTTTTTAGTTTTTTAATGAGTATACCGATTTTAAAGATTAACTTTTCAGATCTCAATTTTTGTCCCTTTTTAAAAAGTTATTTGTTCAAAAATTTTAAACAAAATTATATCAAAGTTATAATATAGCTTCACAGAAAGCAGTATTTAATAAATATAGATATACATTTTAAATTTGAATCTATAGATATACATTTTAATTTTAAACTATTATTTAAAAAGTAAAGTTGAAAACAAAATAATTATGATACCAATATAACAGAATTTTAAAATTCCTTCTCAAATTATTTTAAAACTATAATGATATTTAATTTAAAACAATTTTTATTATATATGTATATATTTTTTTTATGTAAATATATATATATATATATATATATATTTACATAAAAAGTTGTGTATAATTTTCTACGAATGTTATTAAATTAATGTATTTAATCTTTTCGCTAAATTTTATAAAGAATCGCATATGAAAAGAATCAATTATAAAAAAATATGTAGAAAAGAGAAAAAGGATATAGGATAACAAAATAAAGGAATTTTAAAAAATTATTTTTAAAAATATTCTTTTATATTTTATATTTTATGCATTTTTTATAATTTTACTTTATAATAATTTTTGTTGGTACAAAGATATATTTCTCATTACAAAAATTAAATTGTCAAATAAAATATTGATAGCGATCGATATTATAATTTTTTGAGAATGAGACTGTGTTTAAACATGAGGAATGTTTTATAATCTGTCACAATTTAACATCCATCCTAAACTTATAAGAAAATCATATGAGCGGTAATACATAAAAAATATTAGAAGATATATAAATGGATGAGGGTGCATTTTTTCATAAATATATTATTGAATACTATTGCGGAAAAATTTTTTAAAGACATTTCCTTTAATTCTTGTACATATTTTTTAACCTTTTTTAAAAATATTTTTCTCAGAACACATTTTTTATCATTTAGTTACACACCAAAAATTTTATTTTAACTGTTTGAGTGCTACGAATTACATATATCATTTTTATACATAGTGGCATCAAAAATTAAAATATTGATTGCCATGTTTATTGCCAATATCATTTTATTTGACATAATTCAGTTTTTATAATGATGATATTTTTCCCTTAACAAAAATAATTAATAAGATAAAGATATAAAAAAGAACAGTTCGAAAAGTGTCAAATAGTACAATCGCACTTTTTACATCGAAAAATACAACGATTGTACTATTTTCTCATGATAATCACTCACACCTCTTTCGATCTAGTATTCTAAATTAATCAATTTGTAAAAATTGATTACACTGTGTGGCACTCCAACGATTAAAATAAAAGTTTTGGTGTGTAGTAATCATTGAAAAACATACACTAAAAATTTTGTTAAAAGGATTAAAGAATATTTACAAACTTATACTTTTTAAACCAAATGAAGATAATATAAACTTTTTAAATATTGAAAAGTAATACCGCAAATTCTGTCGTGCTTTACATAAGTTTTCTTTCCATATAATCAATATTAAATAATAAAAATTTATTTTTCATTATAATTTACTTATACCGAAAATATTTTTATAATTTACCTGCATACTTGCGTATAAGTGCAGGGACAGTCTTATATAAAATTGCCTCACAGCACTGGTTGTTTTTGGTATAAGCATTTTCTTATATAAATCTATTTTCTTTAAAAATTATAGAGCGCTTCGTACATATATATATATATATATATATATATATATATATATATATATATTTACATATCTTTTACTCAATAGATAAAATAGTAACTATAAAATGTCAGTAGATGTTATTGGTGTCAACGAGCGAGAAAAAAAAATACAAAAATTATATATTATAATTTTTTTGCATACAGTATAATTTCATTACGTTGAAAATTATACACAGAGTATAATATTTAATCTTTATCGCAATATGGAATAATTATAATACTGAATAATTAAAAAACTAATACTACTAATATTACTAATACATTAAAAATATTCTAATATAAGTCTTTCTTAATTTTCACAGAAATTTACATCTACTGGCATTCGTCGAAGTACGCTGCCATATCCAGAATTGTATACATGGCATGGATGCGCCCAGTTCATCAGTAATCACGTCACATATCAATCACTGGATAAGGAATTTATTATGGTAAGTAAATAAACCAATATAATGTACTCATTTAAAAAATCTTTAATATAAATGAACTTAAATTAATAAATGTAAAACTAACGCAAGACTAACTAAAAAAGTAGGAGGTAGGATACATAGGAATCGCTGTATTTTCGCAAATTTTTCGCGTGTTTTGTATATTATAACAAAAAGTTGCAAATTGTTCATCTTTTCTTTTATGGGCATGATGTCAAAGAGTATCGCAAGTTGTTCAAGTTATCTTGGAAAATGCAACAAAATAAAGCATGGCTCAAAAATCGAGTTCATCGTTTTAATATGCGTAGCGCATATAAGAGCTTTTTTAATTAAATTATTATTATTATCTTATATTACTAATATTATTACTAATTTTTAATATTTTTTCTAACATAAAAATATATATTAATAATTCGATGGTAACTCGATTTTTTAACCGTATTGTATTTTGTTGTATTTGCCAAGATAATTTGAAGACACAACTTATGATACTCTTTGACATCATGCTTATGAAAAAAAAGATAAACAATTTGGAACTTTTTTACAATATATTATTATAAATGGTCAGTTATAGATATATACAAATTTTATATACATTTATATATTTTTAGATATACATATATACACGCACAAATACGCACACTTATATTTATTTTCGCTCACAGATACACACATCACGCACGCCATATATATAAATATTATATATATATTATTCTATTATTCCCTAGTTCTATATAAATATGTATATATTATAAAATATACATTTATTATATATAGTATATATAATATATGCATATATTATAAAATATACATATATTATAATATATACATTATAATATACATATATATATATATATATTTATTTATCATATAATTATATATTTATATAATTTTATATATATGTACATATATACACGGATATACATTTTCGGTGAAGTGAAATGATGGACTATGGAGTTATAAGTTGATTTACAGCTATTGAAGATTATGGTACGGAAAATTTATTTAACTGTTAGATTTTTACCCGGCTATTTTATTTTACAAATCTTTTTCTACGTTGCTTTAGCTAGCTCATAGAATTTGATTTGTTGTTCGTTTTGATTTCTTTGGGTTTTGCCCACGCAACAATTTGTTCAACAATTGATTCTACTGGTTTTACCTGTTGAAATGTAAAAACGGATCCATGTTTTCGCAACCATGTAACAAATTTCGCCCCATGATCGGCCGCTTCATGAATCCCTGGCGGAAGGTAATCCATAAAATTTGATTTGCGGTGATTAAAGTTTGTCGAGTCATTATTATTTTTATGGATATTGTTGTTATTGTTGTTCACTGAATTGCCCGGCACAGGTTGTCCATCCAGAATATTGCGCATAGGTTGAAGACGGTTGTTGAAGTACGAGGAAAGTATAGTCTCCGAATTCCTCGAGAGGTTGTTTGGTTGTGTTTGTGGTGGTGGTTGCGACTGTAAGTGTGGTTGTTGTTGTTGCTGTTCTTCTTTTTGTTTTAACAATTGTTGAGCTATGTCATTGATGTGCTTGCCATCTGGCTTAGACATAGCTGGTGTTGCGATCGTGTGGATGCCATTGACAATACCGGATGAAGTTGACGGTACACTCAATGACAGACTATTTTCTCGTTCGATCGGAGATAGGCTCTGTCTTTTCGGAGCAGTCCTGGTATAGCTCCCTAATGAGGGCACATTTGATGCGCGATGTCTCGTTCTTTTTCCATTTAGGTCCCTCTGAGGAAGCATCGAATTGCCCATCATGGTAGCCAGTGACATCGCATTGTTGGTCGAATATCCAGATGTAGAAAATCCGCTATCTAGACCTAGACTTGCGGTATGCGATATCGAGGACAGCAAACTTTTGTTGTTCATCAGAGCCTGTTGCTCCAAAAGAACATTTTTTAAAGCGGGCTGTGAGTGTATCAGGGCGTACAGATACGACGTAAACAAATGTTGATTCGCTGTCGTATCGAAGTATATCCCGCTTGTCGAGGTGGACGGAATATCTGTAGTGTCCACCTTCATTCGCTTGGCAGGTGGTTCCGCTTCTTCGGACGATTCTTTCGATGTTGATGGCGCCGAAGTCAAGTTCGCAGAGGGGGGACGTGACGAAGATCCCGGCGTGCTCCTATCGCTCTCCGAGGGTGATGATAGCCTCTCGTAATGAGCCGAGTTCTTCATGGTGTTGACCTGGCTGACAATTTTGTGCTCAGCTTTGCACCACCCTCTTAAAGTGGATTCGGGAACCCCGATGTCTCGCGCCACGGACGCTTTAGATTCCCCCTCGTGCACCCGTTTAATCGCGTCCAGTTTTTCCTGAGGGGTTAAGGCTCGCAATGGACGCTTTCCGGCGGTCCTCTGCGGTGTTTCGTTGCGTGGCATCGCTGCAGCCATGAATGACACCGACAATGAATCACAAATCGCACCGCTGAATCTCCCTCGAAATTGCTCTTCCTCCCCGACGATTTTGATCAATTTCAAAATCGTAGATCTTCAGGACGATAGATGAATCTCGTCTCGAAAGGATATGCGACGATAGTTTACGTTTACGCAGAAAGAGAGAACGATCCGTACTCCACGCTGTCGGTGCAGCGTGTGGCGCCGATTCGTATCTCGCGCAGTAGTAAATAATGCCGTGTGTAAACGTGGTTACGCCGCTACAGCCGGTCGGGGGAGTAGTAGTACTCGGTCCTCCTCCGTGGTGGAATAGCACATGCGCTCACAGAGAGTAATAAAGAACTTTTTTATGAATGAAACAACTCGGTCGGTCGGTCGGTCGGGCGGGTGACTACAACCACCTCTTCTCTCTCGCTCCTTCTGTTCCCTCTCCACCGCGTGTTCACACTGCTGCCCTCCGTTATAGCAAGGCTACCGCTACCGTTGTTGCTCTTCCACTCACCTCTGATCCTCTCTGCTTGACGGCGCTAGCACGAATAAAACTGTGCGCGTTGATTTACCTCGATGTTCCTCTCACTCCTCACAGTTACTGCTACCAGCCAATCCGCACTGCGCGCGGGAAACGATATTATTGCTTGTACCACGAGGAATAGTAGAACGGCTGGGGTGATAGTCGAAGCCTAAGCGACGAATGACTCGAATCGAATGAAGAACGTGATAGACGCACTCGTGCACACCAGAAGCTGCACTTTATTAGACGACAGTCACTCGCACAAGACTCAGAATGATGGAGCAACTCCCGAGCTGCACTCATTTATACTTCACGTCTCGCGGCAGGCGGCCGAACGCGACTGATGCGACGGACGAGTCCGCACCAACGGACTCTCTAGGAAAGTTCCCCACCAATGGCGATGCGCACTACGATTCGCGCGACGATCCTACGAGGCCCCCCCACTCTTACCAGCGTTAACTCGCCTCGCTTGTCCTCGCTCGCACTGGCGCCGTCAAGAGAGACCGTCTCCTTCCCTGACCATCGTCTACCTATCGTACCCTACTCCTTGCCCTTCCAAACTCTTCTTGGCACGACGAATTGTCCACGGTCCGTCACTCCTCCCCCGCCTCTTGCGCCTATTTTCTCTCTATCGCATAACCCGACCACAATGACGACTATGTAAGTCGGAGTATCCTAGGAGAATATTTTTTCTATCGACTTTCATATTTTCCAACTTGGAATCAAAAAATTTGGAAACTTCGAAGAATGTGAATTTGTAAGTGAGAAAAAAAATCTTCTCGCGCGATTCATTATTTCTATTATATTTTCTTTCTTTTTGTTTATTAATATTTCTCGATAAATTATTTGTAACATACAAAATTATTTTTGATACTGGATGTGCAATATATTTTCTGCATTAAATATGTGTTAAATAAATTGATAAATATTATTTAAAAAAATAGAAATGATAAATTGCGCGATGAAAGAAAAAAATTCTAATTTATTAAATTTTTTTTTTTAAGATGCTTAAGTTTCGACTCTAAAAATTTCTAAGCTTATGGACAGGAGAATTTTGAAAAGACATATTGCATTCTCTGAGTTTTGTGCAAAACGTCTGCTGATCTAAACTCCAGTTTTTTTCCAGTCTTAGAAATTTTCAAATTTAGAGTTAAAACTTAGGAAACTTAAAAAACACTTGGAAAATGTGGATTTGATTACAAATCGCAAAAAATTCCTCTCATATACCGCGCATCTAATTATTTCTATTATATTTTTTTCTATAATAATATTAATAATATTTAGAATAATTTTATTTAACACAAAAAGTAATTCACATCTATTATCTCATTCGTCGCGGTGGATAAATATATTTAACTAGTTATAGAAATTATATAATTATTATTCTAAATAATAATTTGTGGACTTATAAGCAAGAAAAAAATTAGCGCTGTTAATTTTATCAGATCTTTCCAATAATGACAATTTCCCGAGCGATTTTTTCAAGCATTCATTGTATTTCTAATATATAATGTTGCATCAATTTTTTGAAAATTTTACAAGGCGAGTCAATCGTATCGTTTGTAAACAATACATGTAAAGTACCGTATGTAAAAAGAAAACAGTTAGGCCGTCGTCCAGCGTGGAACGTTTCAGATAAGAAAATTCCTCGTAATATTTACAATATTTAGAGGGTTGTCGGTCTTTTATGTGAAATATGAAAGTAAGAAACAATGAGAGAGGCGAAGAAGAATAGAGGATGTGTGTGTGTGTGCGTGTTGGATGCAGCAAAACTCTTAAATCCCTCCCGCCACCTCTGCCAGCAATCCCTGAGGGTGAGCCGGATTTACGAGTACGCGGCCTAAAATCCGCCCGAGCATTCGACGAACATTACACAGTGTTACAACAAGCGCGATGCGATGCGATGCGATGCGGTGCGGTGCGGAAAGGAGCTCGCACTCGCGATAATTCGCGAATAAATTTACCGCGAGTATATCGCCGCGATATTTACTGTCGCGCGTGAATACCAGTACGCGCGATTCCACCGTTGTACCTGACGCACGGACACCGCAGTTTCGACGGCGATACATGAGCAAGGACCAGCCGCATTTCATCACGTATGCTGGCTCGTTTTTCATCGTGCGCGTTCGCAGCGCGAAAAGAGAGGGGGAGAGAGAGAGAGAGAGAGAGGCATCCTACTCTCGATAATTATCGCTGATCGCACACATTTCGAGTTTTCAGACTTCTACTCTGCTAGAATCATAAATGGAAATGTAATAGTCACGAGAGGACGAGCACGTGTTTCTATTTTAGATTGTCCTTGAAATGTTATTTGTTATTATTAAGACAGAATACGAGGCATTAGAAAATAAGCATGCCTCATTAATAAATTTTAAATGTATATATATATATATATTTATTTGAAAATATATATAATATATTAGAAAATATGTATCTCTGTACATATTAGAAAAAAAAGTAGCGAAAATTCTCTCTCATATTTAGTTGCCACAAAATAAGGTACGTCGTACGAATGAGCAATGTCGCAGTGCACAGGTTTAAATTCGATCGAGAGGTTTACAGTTTAAAAAAAATGATAAAACGTAAGAAATTACAATTAATCGAGAGAGACAAAGCATAGCGAAAGCGTGAAATTAGCTCCGACTAATACTTGGATGAGTAAATCGCCTTAAGCGTCGCGTCGCATCGTATCGCATCGTATCGGGATTGATCTTCGCCGAGCGGAAGAAATAATTTTTTCTGCTTTCCTCGCGAGCGTCTCGAACGCACTCACGCGTTGCTGGTATCGTGGAGAGAACAGCTGACCCCAACGCGAATTATTACGCGCGGTTATGGCGTTGCTAAGAGCGCAGCGACAACAAAAATACGATTCCGCGGATAAGAAGGCGGTTGCCGCGCGTGTTCGATCTACGTTTAACGAATCGAGCCTCGCACGCGCTACCGCGTCGCGAGGAAGCGTCACGCGGAGAGAGTCGACGAACGGAAAGAGGAGGGTGAGGCAGAGGGGGTCGACAGGGGGGAGAGGAAGGAGAACGGGGGAGCGACAAGGCGACGACGACGCCGAGAGGAAAATCGATCGATAGCGTCCTGTGTTGTAGAGCGCGTCGCGAAGACGCGCACGCCGTAAAGCCCGCGAGTGAACGCGGGTAAAACGAGAACCGAGGAGCCTCTCTCTCTCCTTCTCTATCTCTCTCTGTCTCTCCGTTCGATTCCGACATTCGACGCGAGTCGATGTAACGAGCCCGTACGATTAATTTTCACCTGCTTCCTCCGACGAGGGACCTCCGTCTCCTCCGTCCGGTCCTCCTGCCCTTCGCGGAAGGACATGCACGCGCGAGCGATGCGCGCATATGTGCGAGAGCGCGTGAAATTACATGTGCGTACGTGCGTACGTCAGCATGCGTGTTGCGTGTGCACGCGCGTGATACACATACGCACGACACAGCTACGCGAGCTATTTGCGCGACACATGTGTGCCGCCGCGTCGCGCCGCGGCTCGAGTTAACGGTCGCTCGCTATCGTTCCTTCAAGACGACGGTATGTTGCCGCTAGCCGCATGATAATATCGATAAACGGCTCTCCGATTCTTGCCTCGGCGTCTCGCTGTCGCCGATGCTCGGTTTGTGTTCGAAACTATTTACCAAATCGTCCTAATGACCGCGTTAGTCATCGCGCTTAGCGATATCTACCTTGTCGTCATCGCGCTCAGCGATATCTACCTTGTCGTCATATTAAGTCAAAATGCGAATAACCGCCTGCTGAGCTTGTTGATATAATTTACATTTTTGTCATATTTGTTCGTTCAAACGAGGTCAAAGCAGGCGCATGCGAGCGTATTCAAATTTGTTTGTCAAATTCGTTAAATTTTGATAATGAGTTTTATAATGATCGCGAGAAAATTGTTTAGATTCTTACATAAGAACCGGGTCGAAATTTTTCTCTCATTTTCAACCTCAATCTTTCACTTTTGGAATCTGGTGAATTTCAATAGATTTATTTATATAGGAATTGAGCTTTTTTATTTTTTTTTTTTTTAGATAGATGGTAAACGAATATCTTCTCATTCGGTTTAAAGTTTTGATAAAATAAAAAATTATTGGTATAATTATAACAGTTAAAATGGCATAAAAATAAAATGGTATAATTATAAAGGTTAAAATGATATAAAGATAAAATAAAAATTATTATAATATAATTATAGATAATTTGAGACCAAACAAATATAGATAATTATGGATAAATTAAAGTGAGTTGATTGCTTAAGGTATTATAGACACTAAATAAAAAGTTGAAGGATAAAAAAATTTCGACTTTTTTTTTAAAGATAGAGAAAAAAATTTCGATTCTTTGAAAGCTATCTATCTCTTTCTCTAATTTACAATCTCCATCTACGCTGTTGAACATAAAATTTCATGCCAAACATGCATATCGATTCATTTATTGAACATCAGTCAAACGTGCGCGTATCATAATTGCTTTCAAAGATACGCGTATTAGTTATCGCTATTTATCGTCGACGGAATCTCTAACTTCGACAAATGTCAGTGTCACGTTTAACTTGATAAACTCAGTTTCTTGTGTGAAAGCGGTGTGACGAATGAGAAGGAGAAAGAGAAAGAAAGATTAAATAAGAGACACGAGATAGATAAGACAAGAAAAAAGATAAATAGAGATGAGGAACTGGAGAAGGAGAGAGAAAGAAGAGAGTTAAGTTCATTCATAAAAAAGAAAATTATTACGAGCGGCGGAGGAGTGCGACTCCCGCAAAGTGAATGATACCTCCTGCTACTCTTACTTCTCTCCCTCCCCCCTTCTCTTCCCTTCCCTTCCGTCCCCGCCGACCCCTCCGACTTCTGAACGGCGATTATCCCCACTGTCGTGCCCTGCGCCGTCCTTGCAACCGTGAAAAGATCTCTCGTGATAAACCTCGATCCTTCCTCCTTCTACGAATCATATCTCTCTTTCTCTCTCATTGTTGATACGCTGATAGGAATCCCGTGAAACTTGTATCTCTACGTCTCTTACGTCTCTTGTCTCCCGCAACTTCTTCGAATAACATTGGGATTAATACTTGGTACAAGAGCACTGATTGTTATATACGTAACTTGGAAAGAGTCATGGATGATGTATCTATCGGATAAGACTCGATATATCGGACGAGAGAGTCAGAGAGAAGTGGCTAACCATTCTCGACCCGTTGACCCCTAAAGTTTGCAAAGCGAGAATTCACATTTCGTGAATGGAGTGACTCATGAATGTATATCCCAGTGTCTCTCACCTTGCGCAGGCTTTCCAGCGTACGCTCGTTCGTGTGCCGCACATACATGCATTCGAATGCATGCAACTTGTTCTATTGTGTATGAATTAATATGAGATCCAATTAATTGATTAAATTTCTAATATGTGG